TCTCATACAAAGATCTTTATCCAAAACCAGTCATGCTTTATATCTTGTCGTTTTGTGTACTTTTGTTTTGGCCAGAGCCATTAAATAATAATATAATAATAAAATCTTATTAAAAGTACAAAAGTACACAAAACGGCAAGATATAAAGCATGACACAGGGATATCGCCTAACAAAGTTAAACAAACTCATTTTAACTCTTTTAATTTCTTTACTATTCTCAGACTGTATAATTTTCTGGTTCAAAAAAGTCTTTAAAATGAATATCAATCTTGTCATAAAAAAACAATCATGTCTCTCCGCAAATTAACCAGTCAACATAAATCTAACCGCAGCTTGAGGGTATACTGTACGTGGGCCGGGATAAACGTCATCACGTATTGTGTGCGGCATCTTCTGGGACGAAACGTATTTGGAAGTGCGACTTCCTTCGCGTCTGCAGGCTACAGCTGAATATACTTACCCGTGTTTGAGAGACACTGTAACCAAGCCCCCAGGAAGTAAGCCAATCTGGCATAGTGGCCAGACAGTGTAATTACAACTTCTGTGTCCATCACGTGATGCACAGTGGCCCTTTACCCATAGACTTACATTGTGAAAGGAGTGGCTGTAAAACTGTGAATTATTTTTTTTTGAGTCACAACCCCCTGCGAAATGACTCGTTTCACTATCAGAATTCGATCCATTCGGTCCGATAACATTTGGAAAGTTTAGAATAGCTGTACTATCCCCGTTCAAGGTTAGTGGAGGACTAAACCAGAAGTTAGCCAGCTCAGATCTCTGGTGATCTCGCTCTATGCTATGCAGACAATCCGGGTAATTTTCCACATAGAAATGTAACTTTTTTGGGTTCATGTGCCACTGAACAGCTTTCACTGGAATGAACGGAGCCCCGCTTCCGAATCTCAGTTCTCTTTATACATAACAGACCACTTGTCTTGCGGGTGAGCTCGATGGCTATGAAAGCTACAGTAACTTAACTTGGAAAATATGGGACACTGGGGCATAGCTGACTGGCCAGAGAGCTTGAGCTCCAGGGGAAGGGATGGTGTTCACGCCACTAGCACCGGAGCTTTGGACTGCTTGGAGGAGGAGGTTTTCAGGGCCGGGCTCCAAGCTCCCAGTCCTGGCAGAGTCAGCTAGCTGATTGAGTCACTAGCCACAAATAAATAGATTCATCGATCAAGAAACTAACTTTCCTTCACTAACGCAAAAGCACTTGCTGAAAGACATTTTGAACAACCTCCAAAGGCAGTCCATAGCCAGACCTCTTCACACTTTGCTATAGTGCTATGAGCAGAGTGGTCCATTAACTTTATGGGTGTGTCCCTGTACTTCGGGGGCGTGCTGGAACTGTAGAAGGACATCCAAGCCAAGTGGACATCAGCTAGCCACGAAGGCAGAAAGAACTTTGGAAACCTAGTTTTCAGAGCAGTCTGAAGCCTGAGCTTTTTGCTCACAGGGATAACTCTTACATACTTACATACCTCATTATTTAAATACTTTGTTGTTAACTATGTTTATGAACGTCTGACAGGGTAACATTCTATATATATGATAGAAAACAAGCAAAGGCATAATAGCCCCCCTTTAATATCTGTCACAAAGGCCAAAATTGGCTGTCCTTCCTTATTTTTCCTTTGTTTTTCTTTGCTACGGTTGAAGAGAAAAATGATGATTCAGTATTTTCAATTAGACTCTGCTGACCAGAAGTAGCTGATCTCTTTTGTCCATTTCCATCACACTCCTCCATTCCGCCCCCCACACTAAGTATGGTTAGAGTGTAATAGAGCATCAACTGCTCACATTGTGTGTTGACTATTTTTACATGAGATGCTTGTGAATTATTGATCCATTCCCCTGTTTTCATGAGCCACTATACTGTGTACATAGAGGTGCCACTGAATTATTGAGCAAAACTCAACAAGAGCTCAGAACTCGACTATGGAAATACAAGCAACTTACTTTGTAATATCTTAAGAATTTGATGGTGCATCGTTGGTTTCTGCAGCTTGATGACAGTTTTCACTAAAAGAGTAAGGGTTTTACACCTTCCTCATCATCCAGTAAGAGTTCAGTATTTTTCCGCTGAGAATGTGTTGTTTACAATCTCTTTAGCACAATATCAGAGTGAAGGTTTATACAAAAATACAAAATAGACAACATTGTGGCAACTTGTAGGGTTTAGAAATTAGAAAACAGTTCACATGTTTTAGTAGATGGTGTTTGCTGAATGAAACTAGCCATGTAGGAATGCTGCCCCAATTAATACAGCTTTTCTGCACTGGCAGAATTGTGATTGAAAATTCAATATTATTAGGCTATGATATTATGAATGGTATAGTTTATAGCTCCATGAAAGTGTCCTAACATAACATACACAGTGTTGCAATGCTCCCGGACCAGTGGCATAATGCGTTGTTGGAGGCAGGTGATGGTAGGAAGCATGAACAAGAAGAGAAATGAGAAATGAAGTGCAGTTAAGCATGCCATTTATGTGCACAGTCGAGTGGCCATTACCTCTCGGTTGGTCTGTGTGTGCAGACATGTGGATTCATAGTGGCTGTGGTATACATGTTATGTGGTATTAGGTACTGTAGGGAATAATAGTACAAAGAAGTGAAACTATATGACGCAATTATGGAATTCTAATGTTTTTTGCATCATCATGTTTTTTAAGGCTGAATGTTAAATCTTAGTAAAAAAAGGCTTCACGTGCTGTTGTAGTGTGTTGTTGGAAGTCAGAGTTGAGTCCATTGTTGATGATTCTCTCTGAGAATGGCTGTGCATTCATACATATGATTAGTGTCCGTGTATGGCAAGCAGAAGCGCCTTAATCCCTCTCATCATTCCTCTCAGCAACACCATTTTACTTCAATCAGTTTCTGGCTTTGCAATCCTGTGCAGCCAGCCTACTGTAATCTTTCTCTTTTTCTTAAATTCACTGAGTCAGTCAGTCTCTATGTCACTGTCTGTCTCTGTAATGTTCAGAGTCGCACATAATTCCAACTTGCTTATTTGAATGAACCACAGTAATTTAATAATTCACATGAGTGAATAAATGCTTCTGAATAAAGCAGGGAGATACTGCATATGCATGTCCTGAACAAACTGTGTGACATTAAATGTAGAACTAATAATCAAATGTAAAAAGGTGGGTACAATTACTGCATTAAATAAATATAAAGGCTTTATTATTCAATTTAGGATTAACCAGCTCCAATTCCATGATGGGATTTTCCATTTTAGTCTTAAAGTTAAGAGGTTTTCATTGTTTTGGTGGGGTAGAGAATAGAGCAGAAAGTTAACTGGGGTGACAGAGACCTTCAACAAACTATTACACCTGAGTTCACTCTGTCTTCTTTCACTTCTTCCACTGAAAAGTGATTACTTATGTAAAATATTGCAGAATGAGGTTTGAATCTGATTTGTATTCACAAATCTGCAACAATACTGATGAACTGATTTGAGCTCATTTGGATAGCTGAATCAGACCAAGCGTGAAAACATGCTGAGGGAAGTATTTTAGTGGCACACTGCATTATGCATTTGACTTGATAATAAGTCATTGACATTTCACTTTGGCTTGCCTTGATGAAGTGGCCTGTGGTTTCTTCTCAGTTTTCTTGGTTGTTTTACTTGTTGTTCTTTCTGTCTTTGTTGTTGTTATCTTGGTTTGTTTTCATCTTTTATGGCAAATGCTCTTTACTGAGGTGTGTCTGAGCTGCGCATCTCATAGATCAGCTGACAAAAAGCACATCCCATGGTGTTTTTTTTATTGGATTATTGTTGATGACAAAAATAAACTACTTGGTTCTTCAGTTTCAAATCAGATAAATTGTAACTTGATTTTCCAAATGAGGACATTCATTGGTCTGATGTGCATACAGTGGTGAATAGAGTACAAAAGATAACTGTTATAAATTTGTTTGAATTTTCTTTAATATTGTTGCATTTTTAACTGTTTCAGCATAACAGAAAATATAACTGGCTTGGTTAAATGAATTAAAATGAATGTTAAGAAAAGGTAACATTATTAATGCAGACCGACTCTTACTGAAGTGCCGTCACTGGCCTGATGACAAAGCAAACCTTCCTGTCTTTTACAGCATCATGTCACTCAAATGTACATGGGTATACAGTGTGTGAGGGACTACTAATAGCGGTGACTAATCTGTGTTTTTGTGATAATCCTTCAAGCTCATAACGCCGCACGTAAAATGTGTTTCCAGCCTAGGATATGTGACGGGACTAGGTAACTTTATTTAATCATTCACAGAAGAATTATTAGCCCTTTCTCTTCTTATTGCCCTTCTTTGTTTGAGTTCTATTTATCTTGTGGGGACAAATCACCTTGGGCATCATCTTCTGAAGGGGGACTCATACATCAGGCTCGTTGTTTATGTGCTGTAAACTGAGCTGCTTTTAATCTGATGTTCGGTCACTGCTCTCATCAGCCAAAACAGTTCCTCTCTCAGGAGTCCTGCCTTTAACCATCTGCTCATTTTCTACAGGCCATCAGGGGAAAGCATTTTGCGGTCACTGTTTGACATTGGTTTTATTTCGTACTGCACAATTTCGACAGTCTTTCCATTGGTGCCGTTAAATTTGAACATTTATGTTTACCAGGCATTCAATACAAGCTGCCATGTAGAATCATAAATTATCACAATTTTTCAGTGTCTTTGTTATCAGTAAGGTGTCAGACTTGCAAATCTGCATGATACAGACTGATTACATCCACCTGTGTTCCCATCCCGCTCTCGTCTTAAACCCATTCTGCTTTAATAACTGTATCAGAGTGCTGTCTATGAGAGGGGAGTGTTTCTGGTGCCATCCAGCAAATGGAAGTCTATTAAATTGTTGATGTTACAGCAATCCACAAGCTTGTCCCCTGGATACTTTTATGGAAAGTAGGACAGTGGTGGGCCCGGTCTTCTCTCTCTCACTAAAACCTAAGTCTCCCCCTTATCTCCTACTTCTCTCTCTGTCTCTCTTACAGGCCAGCCCAGCCCCGATAATCGTCAACACAGACACATTGGATTCCGTTCCTTATGTGAGTTTAAATGTTTGTGTCTTTTTTAATGCACTTTTTTTTCACATCTTTTTCAGCAGAAGGTCAATACAACCAGCAGATTAATTTATCATTATTATCATTATATTAATTCATCTCAGTGACCTGCAGAATGAGGCTGACTCCTCTGTAGCTCACCTCCATGTTGCAGAAATAGCTAATATTGATTAACTGGCACTTAATGTGGGGCTTATTATTTTATTGGCTCCACCTTAAGAGAAATTATGTAATATACTGTACAATTTAATAGTTTATAGCAATGTCTGAAAGACAGAAAATGGAGTCGGTGTCCTGACACAATCTGTTTTATGTTTCCTCAGGTCAATGGCACAGAAATTGAATATGAGTTTGAGGAAATCACTCTAGAGCGGGTGAGTATGTTTGATCCCTCAGCTGTGATTACCCCCAGAAAATCTATGAGAACGTGCCTCAGCCCTGTGGTGTACTGACATGGTCTCTTGAAGGCTTTAAAATAAGATGCAAGGCAATGACACAGTAAAGTTAAAACATCCCTGCTGCTTCACACGAGGATCTACTGTCAGTGTGGCTTGTTAATCCGTGTGTAAATCATAAGTTACTATCAAAAATATATGTGGGAAGAGTTGTTTGTTTTCCTAGTATGAATTGTGTGGGAACAGTTGGGACTTTTTGCTCAGACTAGCCTTTAGAACAGTTTTTCCACCAAATGCAATGACAAGAATTAAACTGCATATTTGTATGGCCGAAACGGCACACCCCCTGAAATAGCTTATTGTATGTATAAACACCACAAAAGATTTCCATGATCATGACACTTAAGCTGAACATGGCTTTTATACATAGTCATAAAGTCAAATGTAACAACTCTCCATTTGACTTAAGCATCTGACTGGTTAGAAGTTAATTTAATAATTAATTCATGCAGATTTTTGATATAAAGGCAAATAGCATGAAACAGTTTTATCCCTCACAACTCTAAAAACAACTGATTTGTGTGCTAAAGCAGAGCACAGCTGGCACAAGCTCGTCAATGAATCGCCAAGTCACTGAGATGGAAATATGTGCAGAAGTGGATCCTTACAGGCGCAGAGTAGAAAGAGCTTTAACAGTTCCAATACAGTGGGGAGCAGAGACAAAGCCCAACCAACAGAACACCACCAATCAACAAGGGGAGCCTGCACTGGGGCATTGGAGACAGAAGTCAACCTTAATCCTTACTCCAGGACTTCCGTATTTATTATCAGCCATCAGATGATGGCCAAACCCATCTTGTGTAGTGGTTTCAGGCAGTGAGGCCCTCCAGGGAAGCTCACTGGAAACTGTAATCAAGAGAAGCTGCTATTCCCATCAGCGAACAACTTAATCAAAGCTTGACTTTCATTTTGTGAGTGGGAATCCTGGGGATTTTAGTTGCAGAGCCAGCAAAGTGCAGCTTCTGCTCTGAAAGACTGTGTGATCCTGCTGTCTTATAAATACATAATTTTATAGTAGTGTCATGACAACAAAGAGCCAGGAGAGAGGCCGTGACCTTGACAACAGGATGCCAGAGTAATTTTGTAATGGCAAACTGTACACCTCTGACTACTGTACTTATGCTGAGAGCAGTGACAGTATAATGCCATACTGTCCTGTCATGCATCAATATTTCATTGACTATTAAAGAAACAGTTACTTGTGCTTTTCAAAAGTATTAAATGTCAGCATTTAGAAAACCAATGTCTATGAAATGAGGATGCTTACGAGGATGGCTTTTAGTTGTTTGCACGGTGCTGTCAAGTAGTACACAAGATGTATTTTTTCCTGTGCATCAGTTAATCCCAACCAGCAGGACTTGCACCTTGGCAGATGTTAAAACTAGAAAATAATTATTTAATAACTAGAAAAATTACATCAACATATTTTCGTCAATGGGCGTGTCCGTGGCGTGGCGTCAAATATCAGCTCTTCGCCATGACACGGAAGTTGTCGTAACTTCAGTGTACATGCTCACATCTGGACCAAACTGTACATGTAGGATGAGAGTCCCGCCCTGAACACATGTACATGCTGACATTCACCCACAGTCATAGCGCCACCTGCTGGCAACAGGAAGTGACTTTTAACGAAGCAGCCCCCGCCGCACGTTTTACCTACGTGCACGAATTTTCTGTGGTACGTGTATCTTGTCCAGACGCACAAAAAAGTCTCTTGGAGCCATAGCCTAAACCCAACAGGAAGTCGGCCATTTTGAATTTTACGTCAAATTTTGGATGATTTACACACTTCGTACTTTAACGAACTCCTCCTAGGGATTTAGTCCGACCGACCTCAAATTTGTGCTGTGCCTTCTAAAGGCATTGAAGATGAAAAGTTGTGCTATTTGCAAGTTTTCGTCAATGGGCGTGTCCGTGGCGTGGCGTCAAAGATCAACTCTTCGCCATGACACGGAAGTTGTCGTAACTTCAGTGTACATGCTCACATCTGGACCAAACTGTACATGTAGGATGAGAGTCCCGCCCTGAACACATGTACATGCTGACATTCACAGACAGTTATAGCGCCACCTGCTGGCAACAGGAAGTGACTTTTAATGAAGCAGCCCCCGCCGCACGTTTTACCTACGTGCACGAATTTTCTGTGGTACGTGTATCTTGTCCAGACGCACAAAAAAGCCTTTCGGAGCGATGCCCTAAAATCAACAGGAAGTCGGCCATTTTGAATTTTACGTCAAATTTTGGATGATTTACACACTTCGTACTTTAACGAACTCCTCCTAGGGATTTAGTCCGACCGACTTCAAATTTGTGCTGTGCCTTCTAAAGGCATTGAAGATGAAAAGTTGTGCTATTTGCGAGTTTTCGTCAATGGGTGTGTCCGTGGCGTGGCGTCAGAGATCAAGTCTTCGCCATGACACAGGAAGTTGTTGTAACTTCAGTGTACATGCTCACATCTGAACCAAACTTTACGTGCTTGATAACTCTCCCACCCCGTTATGGAGGACCGATCCTGACACAGTCAGAAATAAATACAGAAATAAATAAATGCTCAATAAATAAATAAGCATCCAATTAAATACACAAAAAAATAAAGTAAATAAATAAATGTAGGTAGTAATTAAATTATACAAGGAGACATAAATGTATATATTTTAATTAGTGCCTTTACTTATTCACCTTTGTTATAATTACCTTATTTGTTTATTCAACTTTATTTATTACTAATTTTTTTAATGTATTTATTTATGTGTGTGTTTTAATATTTTTGTCTGTTTTATTCTTCCTTTGTATTTATTTACCTTATTTATTTTCACCCATTCACACCAATTTATTTTATATTTAATATATTTTTATTCTTTTTTTTTTTTTTTAAACCTGTCCTGCCCAGCAGCCTGGTATAGAGTATAATGACCTGGATACCATATTGTGCCAGACAGATTTTACTTTAACAAGAGAGTATTAAAATACTCCTTTGTCTGTTTTATTATTTATTTAATTATGTATTGATTTGTCACCGGGCCGGACAGGGGGGCAGACACGGGGATGGGAGGGCACAAACAGACAGCACAGAGAAAGGACAACACCTGTAAGAGAAGGGGGAAAGGGGGATGGAGGGTGGGGACAACAGGGAAAAGCTGTGGGAAACACCAATTGCAGAAAGCAACCAAACCTGCAATAGAACATAACACAATAATTTCTGTTTGGGGAGAAAATAAACATATAAATAAGATTACATTTATATTTACTCATTCAGCAGATGCTTTTCTTCAAAGTGACTTACAATTGAGGAACAAAATATAATCATCAGTAAAGTGAGAGATTTACAAGCAACAATAGATACTATCAGTGTATTCTGGGATTCATGTAAGTTCTCAATGTATTTGTTTATCTGTCATTATTGTTAGCATATCCTGATACTTGTCTTTTATCATGTATAAATTGTATGACCTTGAACCTTGTAAGGCACTTATAAATAAATGTCTTATTAGCTTCAATGTAACAGTAACAAAAAATTGGTGGTTTTCTCTCTATTGAAAGTATAACAGCAGCAGGAGTCTTGTTTCAGCTAATCCACTCCACTGCAGACAGTGTCCTCAAACTGTCTTAGAAACAAGCAGTTGATGTCTACATAGAAAATAACTCTGCCTGCAGAGTCCCGTTGTCACTGACTGCTTTCCATGGCTGCAGGGTAACTCAGGCTTGGGCTTTAGCATTGCCGGAGGCACAGATAATCCACATATCGGTGATGACCCCGGCATCTTCATCACCAAGATCATCCCTGGAGGAGCTGCAGCAGAGGATGGACGCCTGAGGTCAGTCACTTACATTTCCCCACCAAGGTTTTTAATAAGAGATAACTAGAAAAGTTTTCACACTGGACAGGAACTTTTTTTTGGGGGGGGGGGGGGGGGGGACCACTTATAATCTACCCTCAGAAATCTTTCATAGAAAAAATAGTTGAGATCTTATACAGCAGGATTGTTTTTCTGTGGATCCTGTATAAAACAAATGAATCCTGAACTCTCAAATGATGAACTTTTTGTCCCGAAGCCAATATTATACAAATTAAACTTCTGTTTATTTATTCTCAAGAGTAACAAACCAACTGGCATTTATTTCCTTCAGTACTCTGCAGCGTCAGCACTTACTGATCTCTGAAAGTCTGCGACTGTAAAGGTGACCAACAATCTAAAACAGTTTTATTAAATTAACAAAGGAATGTGGATACAGTCCATCAGACCCTTTGTTACAGTAGTGTATCAAGGAGGCAAGGACACAACCTGAGCCCATTCATCACTGTCCTGGAGTAAAAGGCTTACTTGAGGGAAAACGCCCCTACTTGACACCTTGGATCTAGTGGCTAGTTTAGTAATAAACATGAATACTGACTTTAATTATGAAACTAGAGAGTCACAACTTGACTGAATTTAGAACATGTTGGAGCTTTTTTGTGTAATGCAAGGGTGTATGAGCCACTAATGTACACCACTGCACCTCCACATCCCTAAGGTCCCATGTCCACCAAAGCGTTTTTTCCGCCTACTTTGGTTGATACATTTGTTGCAAGTAGTTCTGCCTAACTTTACTGGATGTAAAAATGTCAACACAGAGTAGAGTACTTGCTCTGGCCCTTGCTCTGTGTGAAGAGAGGACAGCCTCGCTGTATGTGGGTTCATGACATGGGCGAGGAAACATCTCGGAGAGTACCACCACAAGCTCGTAAAAACGCGCTGCTCCCATTGCAATGAATTGAATAAAGATGCTGGCGTCAGAAAAAAACGCTTTGGTGGACACGGGCCCTAAGCGCCCTTGTCCAAATTGTTTTTTTCTTTTTTCCTAACCCTAACGCAAGAAACAGAGAGCAGAGGGGTTGGGGGCTAGTAAGAGATGTGATTGGACCGGACCAGTGTCAGTATAGAAAATTACGCAATGGGCCGCTGTTCATGCGTTATGGGCCGATCGTTGGCCCATTTTTTGGCCCAGTATGCCAGATTACCAGTCCAGCCCTGGTTGTATTCCCACCTTTTTAGAGTAGCAGTGATTGATAATGCTGTTTTTGGTAGCAGGCCAGTCCCTGTTCTTTTTCCAAGCTGCAGCTCTGAAGCATTACTGTCAGATCAAAGATGCCAGAGAGGAGCATCATGCATGCACAGCGTCAATCTCAAACAGATCGCAGAAGAAGCCGGCCCTGGCATAAATCACACTTAGCCTAATTGATGGTCACCCACTCCAAGGTGGCAGCAAGACAAATGCATTATGGAAGGAGGGGAAGTCTAATCTGGGGGAGGAAGGAGGCCTGATAGGAATTTGGTAATAGAACATTATAGAAGCCAGACACCCTTCCTGTCGCTGCTCTGAGACACTGTAGCAGAGCACTAAGTGCACATACTTTGTGCACTGGCTCGGTTTAAGAGATGGCTTGGAGCATTTTAAATGTGTCTGTTGTTTAGGAGAGGCAAAAGAATGGATGTAGTTAGGACTAAACCCACAGCAACCCCACCATTTTATTTCTGAAAGATTTCTATAAATGGAATCATTTACATTTATTTATACAGACTTTTCTCACAATTTAGAGCTTTTTTAGAGTAGGCTTACAGGCTATTTGTTCATGTAGTCATCACCAACATGAGTTCTGTGTTTATCTACTTAAACAGTAACAGAAGAAAGATAAATACAGTATAAAGCTTTTTTTTTATGCTGGAAGTCATTTTTTCACTCACAGGTGGAAGTGGGTGTGTATGTATGCATGTAATTATGTGTGTGTGTGTGTGTGTGTGTGTGTGTGTGTGTGTGTGTGTGTGTGTGTGTGTGCTGGGCCCCAGCTGGTCTCTATGAGCACCCCCAGGAGAGTTGTGTCCTTGAGTGCCAGGACATGGATGTTTCAGTTGACACCTCAGGGAAATTCTCACATTTTTACACACTCATGTGCTCGCCCACATGCACACACTCACTCTTTCTCTCTGTCACGCTTCACAGACCTACATATACATAAAAAAGTGAATAACATGCACAACATTGCCTTAATCTTAAACTCATGTACAATAACATTATTTATGCCTTTTAATGTTGTCAAGGTAGAGCTAATTTCAACTACTTAATATACTGTTATATTTAACGAAAGACCGATGAGGGGCGTGCCCCCAACGGCACTCAATAAAAATAGTCAACAGCATGTAGTTCCATAAAAGCAGAAGTTTTGCAACTTTAGAAAGAGCTTGACTCTCAAAAAAACCCATCAGGTTTAACACTTTTCCCAAAATGGCTGCTCTATATCTGCCTGCACAGATTGGACACATCAGTTTTTAAAGAATGAAATAGTGTGATTGCAGCTTTGCTCTTAGTTATTGCTAATAATTATGACTAATCCACACTGTTCCTCTCCCAGAGTAAACGACTGCATCCTGCGGGTGAATGATGCAGATGTGTCAGAGGTCTCTCACAGTAAGGCCGTAGAAGCCCTGAAGGTTGCCGGTTCCATTGTCCGGCTGTATGTGCGGCGCCGCAGGCCAATGCTGGAGACCATCATTGAGATCAAACTCATCAAAGGACCAAAAGGTGGGCTCAGACTAACGCATACACACAGTCGTGCTAAGTCAATCACACACAGATTGATTGTGACTAATATTCATTTCTATCCTGCGTCCTGGTTGATGCTCATGTAAATACTTTCCTGGCGAGTGTTAATCATATTGATTCAATTTAACTGGTCACTGCAGCATGTTTTGAATATGGAAAGATTGGTTCCTCTAACAAAAAAAGCAAATTCTCTTCTTGGTAAAATCAAATATTTGCATACATATTTGCATAATAATACACATTATCAAATAGTGCTAGTATAGTGTCTGATTTCGTACACACAACCCAGAAACTAACCAACTATTTTCACATATACAAAAACACATACAGGGCTTGGCTTCAGTATTGCAGGTGGAGTTGGAAACCAGCACATCCCTGGAGACAATAGCATATACGTCACCAAGATCATTGATGGTGGGGCAGCACAGAAGGATTGCCGGCTACAAGTTGGAGACAGGTTGTTAATGGTGAGTACATAAATTAATTCTGTGTTAAGAGAGAAGGATATGAAAATACAGTATGTTTTTAATTAACCTCAGCGGAAACATACAGCACACAGCGGAATATTAAATGGCAAAAAATTGGCCAGCACAGTGGAATCACTATTACTCTCTACTGTAATGCAGTACAGCAGTCACATGGCCTTTGTGAAGCTTAGAATTGTTGTTGTGTCTGAGATGAGATTATTCAACTCTGTGGTGATTTTGTTGTTTCAGATCACTTAGTGTAGATAAAAACATAAGAAATTAAATACATTAAACACTCATAACATTTAGTTCAATGGCAATAGTATGAAGGTGCACAGCCGTTCTCATCTCAGGGCGTCCAATACCAACGCTTTCAGAAAAAGTGACAAAGCGTAGTTATGTGACGCTAAAGGTACACTTCCACAGCTCAGATACAGTCCCTGATGGCCTCTAATGTCTTTATACATACCTAACAAATGCAGTCTTTTTTTTTTTTTTACTTCTATCATATTCTTCTATACTTTATTACAAAAGTAAATGCTCCGTACTTGTATAGCACCTTTCTAGTCTTTTCAACCACTCAAAGCACTTTTACATTACATCTGCATTCACCGAGCCTAAGTGCTCAAACGGAAACTAACATTCACACACTGGCGGAACAGCCGCCAGGGGCAAATCGGGGTTCAGTATCTTGCCCAAGGACACTTCGACACGCAACCAGGGGAGCCAGGGATTGAACCACCGACCTTCCGATTAACGGCCAACCCGCTCTACCTCCTGAGCCACAGCCACCCCAATCCAAAGTATATTTAGAGTATAACATTTTGCTTTGGTGTGCTGACAAATGATGACTGTTTGGTTTTACCAGCAGGACCTGAACCTGTTTAGCATCTTTATCATTTTAATACAGTGCTCACTATTATATTGACCGATATCGAAGAGACTAATGGCTGTTCCATGAACCAGGTTACACTGTACACAGTACATTAACCTGCAGTGTATTAATCAGGAAATTTACTTGCTGACAACATTCTTCCTGCATCTTCCGTCTACATGATGAAGTGATGAAATGAGTCTCTGGCACACATTTTGAAAGCAAGAAAGTGGTAAGCTGCATACTCAGTAGAGTAACAGCAAGCTTTTTGTTCAGGAGGAGGGCATCCCTCTTGCTAAACCAGAGCTTAATTTAATTACCTTCCTACTGCTGTGTTCTCACCCGAACACCATCTGTCATAGTCCAGTCTCCTGAAGGCCACAAGCACACTGGACTAATCTGAATTGAGCAGTAAGGAAACACAACGGAGCCTTTAAAACCCCTGATTGAACAAACAAGGACTACTGTATATCTGTGTCTGGACAGGTGAATAACTACAGTCTGGAGGAAGTGTCTCATGAAGAAGCTGTGGCTATTTTGAAGAACACGTCAGATGTGGTCTACTTAAAGGTGGGAAAGCCCACCAATGTCTACTTGTCAGATCCCTATGGGCCTCCTGATATCACACACTGTAAGTCCTCACCTATTTTATTTGATTAGTCGTCAGTTGACTTGTCAGTTAGAAAAGTTTACCAGTAAATGTAAATGATGTATCGTACTGGTTATTGCTAGGGGTGTGATGACACTTAACCCACAAGACAAGACGAGACTCGAGATTGGGTTCACGAGATCGACACGAGACGAAATTTTAACACTATTTTTAAGAAATCTATTATGCTGAATTATATGAGTATTTTAACATTAAACACTTTATTTCCTGCATCCTGATGATTTTTTCTGATTTTTTTTTTTATTGATGTAAAGAGAAACACAAAATTCAGGTGGCAGGTGACAATTCAAAATCTATAGCCTAACTATAACTGAATCAAAGTCAGTGCAGCTCTCAGTCATTCTGTGCTGCTTTCAGAACTGTTTCTCCTGTAGATCAACTTTTCTCATGTAATATCATCCCTGCTGAGTCATGATTTAGTCTTCCCTCCTCGTTGTGTCTTTTTTTGGGGAAGTAACCTCTTGAAATGTGATTGTGGCACCTTTTCACCTCAATGATAAATTATAAAATTTTAATTTAGTTATAAACTCCTGGACTTTTATAGCTCCTGTGTTTCAGCAGGTGTTCTGCTCATGGTCAAAACTTTGGCAGGATGCAATTTCAGACTGCATGTTACCACAAATCCACACACGTTAACTTCAGTGGCTCTGATAAAGTGCAGCACACAATCACAAACAGAGCAGCTAGTCAAAGCTGTGTGGACTCACAGTGCGAGTGGGTTCAGCTGATTACTATCACAGCGTACGCCGGTGTCAGTCAGCTGGGTGGAGTTGATTAGCTCCGCAAGTCTTAAATCTTATTAGTTATACCATTTGTATTTCACTGCGTGAGAAAAATAATGTGTGGCTTGACAGCGTGAAAAATGTCAATTGCATGAGTGCCACGAGATCTCGTCACACCCCTGGTTATTACACATGAGATCTGTGTCCACATCTGTTGATTGTGAATCACTTATCATATATTTGCAAACTGTACTGTACTGCAGGTACTGTTCTGGGGTGTCCAGCAGAAACAGAACAGTATTGGCATTAATTTGAGGCCATGTTTCGGTTCACCTAATCCATTTAAGTCCAATATTCACTCCCTTTTTATCTCTGGTTTGCATTCAACTGATTGCTGAAAAAAATGTCCAGCTCTTTAGCTGCTAAATACTCCACTATTTTCACCAGCTAGTCTCGAACTCTGTGTGTCTGCTGTTTAGTGCTGGGCAGATAGTGCACAGTGACTTTATCAGAGCCTTTTCGCTAAAAGCAGCTGCCTGCTGTTGCTAAAAATGGGGTTGATGAAAGCACTGAGACTGAACAGTACAGTACGCTATGTTAAACCAGAACAACAGGCTAAAAGAAGCCAAAATGCTCCATTGAACTGCAGAATCAGGGGATAATTCACTACACCCAACCTCTCTCATTTACCCTCTGGGCTTGTTATACATTTTCCTGTGAATATATACAATTTATACATTATTCAGTGTCAACATCACTAGAAACTCAGTTGATAACACTTTATCTTTGCTGCTAAGTTACACATAGGGAATTCCTTTCAAGCTGTACTGCTTGCACAATGTATTTGACAAAGTCATAGAGATTCTTTGTTTTTCTTTTCTTTGTTCTCTGAAACACAAAGTATGCAGGAATACTCTCCTGGCAAGAGAAGAAATTGTGTCAGCTAGTTTGTATTGTTTGTTAACGCAGCTGCCACTCTGTTTTTATTCTCTTCCTCTTTTCCTGAACAGCTTTTTCTCCAGCCATGGAAAATCATATCTCTTCCCCCATCAACAGTGGCACTTTGGAGTACAAGTCTGGTGTCCTCCCCATCTCCCCTGGAAGTTATTCCCCACTCCCTAAGCACTTACTGGGGGAAGAGGATATAAACAGGTTGGATGGTTTTTCCTTCTTACGGTAATTACCTCCCTTCCTACCAGACTACTAGAACTACAGGTAGAATCTTTGTCCAACCCGCTCCTCTTGTCTCCCCCTTGTCCCGACTGATCCGTCCTGGCGTTAGGAGCTCCTGTTTTTAGCTTTTTTTTTAAACCCCACTAATTCCTAAGTCTGTGTCCAGTTTTCCCAGCAGTGTTTTTCAAAGATAGCCTCAAAAAAAGATTCCAGGGCGCTAAATGTGGATTCCTTGATCCCCAGTCAGGACCTGCAACATTACATTCTGATCACATTTACTGAAACGAATAGTAAGATAGAGGGTCCTCAGAAACAGCTATTTGAAAACCACTGGTCTGCTGTAGTCCTGTGTTTCTGTTGTGGTGTGTTGTGTTTGCCTCTGAATGTCACTTTTTATGATTTCTTTCTGGACAAAGTGTCATTGTGACGCATGCTTGGTAACCATTGGAGCATCAAGTAATTGCTTTATAATTTGACACAACAGCGCTTTTGTACCTATATTGTGTTAAAGTGTGGGTGGTACACGCTTGTTGCCTCAGGCCCAGCAGCAGAACCATCACAGTAAAATACATTTGTACAGTGACAGGTTCAAATGGAATGTATGGAGAAAGATTTGGATGTTTTTCTGTGGTATTGATGTGGCATCATTGGCAGAGACAGATGTTGTCTTGCTGTTTGATCAGTGCTTTGTTTTGTTCAGTGCTTCAGTTGAGTTTTTTGGATTGCCAAAAAACCAACCATAAAAAACAGGATATATCATTTTAGGTGACTCGTGGCACATACCAATTGTTCGAACTTCAGTCTGTTCAGCAGCTGATATGACAGATCTTTTGTGCACTGCTACAACCGCCATTGCAGTGCAGGAAAGTGATGGGGACTGGAAGTTGGGCAGACCTAGAAGTGTATGTGCACATACTAGGGGTGTGCATCTTCACTGGTCAACATTGCATAGCATTATTACATTATTCCAGCATTATTACTGACCTCTGCTGCTGCTATTTTTATTTCTGATGCTACTGTTATTTGTATAGAGTCAGATGGGGGATGAACTACACACTTTACAATGCTCCAGCCAAACATGTTCACTCCACCTTAATATCAGCATTGTGCCAGTAGAAATGATCCTGTGGCTCTGAGCAGGCCATAGGCCTACAGTAAGCTATAATTATTCATGTGCAGGTGTTTGTTAAACAGGTGACAGCTACAGGGAGAATCATGCTGCTCTGCATTGATAACTGAGACTTTATTAGTATTAGAACAGTGCACATGTGTGCAGACACAAACTCCATGAAAAGTCTCTACAGCTGTTAGAGCCGACTGACAGCTGATCCAGCTGTGATCAGCTGCCGCCGTCATCAGAAACGGACGTCGCTTCATGTGACGCTTCAGAGGAAAGGACGTCTCATGTCTCTAAAAACATATTTCCTCGTTCCTTCTCTCCTGGCTTGGTTTCCTTGCGTCTTAGTCCCGCCCACCGGGGATTCATGGAGAGACGCAAAAGGAAAAGACGCAAGTGAGGGAAACGTGGATGCAATTAAGAAGCGCCCTTTATTGTGTGCACCGCACAGACAGTCCAGCTGCACTTCTGCATTTCCGAGTTCCGATTTAGATTAGTTAGATAATTGATTAAATATTACCTAAAAATTAATGGCTTTTTAATGAAATATTTTCAAACATTTGGCTCTTATAAACAGTGGAAACAAGACTCAGTATATGGGCTATGAAAGTTCCAGAGTATTCTTTTTCAAAAGACGTCTGCTGTGTTTGCTGTCCGTCTTTTTCCTTTTCCTTATGTGTTTTTCTACCTGTTGGGTTTTCAGTCACTCCTCTTTGACAGCTGCTCCCAGTCCAAACAGAAGAAAGCTTAAGATGTCTTACTGGGCTGAGTCACAGCCAAACATTAGCAGCTCCCCACCTCGGCTGCCCGATCACCTAATCCCAAAGCAAGCTGCCACAAGGCTTGGGACCAAATTGGCAAATTTCCTATCAAGTCAAATCTAAGTTTTTGTCTTTCTGCTCAGTGAATGTTGTCAGAGGTGGATGTCCCCCCTGCTGCTTGTCAAACAAAGGGTTTGATGTGAGTGGAAGCACAGCATTTCAAGAATGACAGATTAAAGCAGATTTTTAAGCAGCACAACAAGGAAAGGTGGTGGATATCACAAGGAACAAATGAGTACATACACTCCATAATGCTTGTCTGTTAGATTACGTCCTTGCTGTGTGCTGTGAAAAGAATTATGTTGTGTTGTCATATGCCATTTGCAAAACAAAGGCTGATGGAGGAATATTGCAGCAGAGTGATAACAAAAGCTCATTTCAGAGGATAACTGAAGGACCCCTGTGTTAAGCTTTGTCGAGTAAAGGATTAGTCCTCCATTCTCTTTGGAGTTAAGAGGTTTACTATTTGCTCTTGGCCAAGGTGCATCCCTAATAGCCTTCAAGATTATCGTGCTGACCTAAAGTGTAGCTTGTGTCACTCTTGTTCTCTGTGTTCTACACATACAATGCTGTGAATGCTACAAAGCCAAGAGGATTCTTTTTGCTTTATTAGCAGAGCAAAATGATTCAAAAGTTGTTTTGGCAACTCAGACATATCAAAATGATTACTTTATTTACTAGAGCCTACCAAGTAAAATGCCTTAGATGTATGGCTGTTACAGGGTGTGAACTCCAAATATTAGGCAATATATCACTGTACAAACTTATATGAAGCTCAACATGTTGTCTGCAGGGTTTTTTTTTTACCTTATTGCCTCTCATTAGAAACTTTTTCTTTTAGTAGAATAGCTATTCAGATCATCTCCACAATTCTCCACAGTCATCCTTTGAAACAGCAGCGTGTTTGAGATCTTGTTGTTTTCTTTGGTGCTAAAATTCAGATACTTCTGCATTAAATTTGCCTTCTAGTTTGAAAAAATTTCAGAAAAACATAAACTTACTGCACTTTTGCTAAAGCGTCTGGACTGAATTTAATGCTAATGAATAAAATGAAAAGAGAGAAGAGTCACGCCCCCACAGGTCAGTTGTACAGTCCCCTTCCAGGCTCTAAATGGCACCTACAGGTCCTTACAAGGTCAGTGCATTTTTGTCTGATCTGGACTGACTGGCCGTCTCAGCTCCGCTCATTGCAATATGAATGATTCAGCAAGAGAAATGAAGCCAACTGTTCAGACCTCTCTGGCGTCTGCGTCTCTCCAGTAGAATAGAGTAGAATAACAGCTGGTTTAAATGATGTAGTTCTAGGCATGTTATATATAAGACAAAATTTACATTTCTGCCTTATGCCTTAAGTTTCAGCCCTGCAGTATTCTCCTTGCTTGTCAGTGTTTTTTGCTGTCTGAAGAAAAACACTGTGCAAGCAGATGAAGTGACCTCATTTTGTTTGGTGTCCTAAGATGTTCACACTCATACTTTCTTTGATAACGCTGTCATGTTGGTCGGTTGAACCAACATGGCATAGACATGGCATGTTGTTGAAATATGATTAGTGAAACACCCTTGCCTGAAGGGCAGCTCATATCAGCAGATGCAGTGGAGGGTAAACCCACCCATGCTCTGTCTGGCTCTTTATTTTAGGCTTTATAAGTATCATCCATTTCTTGAGATGCTTAACTGTCAAGAAGGATTATAGTGTGCGATATGGTGTAGCTGTTATTATGATGATACCAGATAGCTTTAGGTCTACATTTCCTTCTTCAGCCACAGTCAGCCAGAAGGGACAGAGTTGCTTGGTGAAGATGTTTTCATGTTTGAACAGGATGCAAATGCACAACAGTTGGTGACAGACAGAGAAAGCAAGAGGAGGATGAGGAACAGTAAAGTGTGTAGGTGGTGATGTGCTGCAGTATGCTCAGGGCAGGCCAAACAGGGACCTCACAGGTCTAGTCCATGACTAGTCATGACTACCAGCCTCACATCAGCAGACACACACACACACACACACACACACAGACCAGTGTCTCCAGCACAAACAGTATGCATACATTACTTACTGCATGCTCCTGTTAACACACTTGAATCCACATTAGGTCACAAACAGGAGACGTGCAAACGCTGAGCGTTCACTGAATGTTTAGCCAATGATATGAATTTGCTGTGTGTCTGTGGCAGATTAGTGCAGCCTCTCCATGCAGGCATACTGTGTGAGCTAACACACTCCGGATGATGTTGTTGATGACTAAAAATCCCTGACATGGACATTTACTTCAGTACTTTCAAGGACATGGCTTTTTCTGTTTTCACTTGTCTCATGTTGTTCTATGTAGCATGCCTCCAGGTATTTCTTTGACCAGTGTCTTAAAGTAAAAAATTAGTGTGAATGTAAATAGCAGAATTACAGCATCTTATGATAAATGACAGTTACCAGTGGTTGGTTATCAAAAGTTTACTTTTTCATCCTATTAGAAATCCCTCGCTAGATGACGGGGAGAGTCACAGGTTTGATTCCCAGCACTTCCAGTTGAGGTGAGAAATTCACTGTGCTCAGTCCCCTACTGCATGCTTGCATGTACATCACTCATGTGTTTTTGTTGCAAGGAATCGCTGGTCATCAAGATGTCTGACTGAATAAAAAATTCTGAACTACTGAGCCTTCCTCAGAGATAACCTTTGTATCTTCTAAAATATATGTAAAAAGGGTTTATAAAGTTTCCATGTATGCATGTGTTGTATAAAATTGATTAAGTTTGCCTCCACTTTCAAAAGTTTGCACTTAAAGAGTCTCAAATAGGTTGCTCTCTCCTGTGAGCATGCTTACGTTAAAGTTAGAATATAACGATAGAATAAATAGCCCAATCCTTCTCTTTCAAATAAAGAGCTGAATTGATAAGCAATAAAACTCTTTTTTGCAGTTACAGTCTTATGTAGTCTAGTGTGACCTCTATCTTATGCTGGCTAATGTTAGCAAACTTTAGATATATGTTCACTGACTTTATGACTCTTCACTACTTGTGCTACCATTAAAGTGTGTTTTAGCATTTACAGTGATCGTGTAATTGTCTCAAATGGCCACAGTGGCCGAGGTTTACATAAATTACATAATCTGGCTTTAACATACATGTATAGTAAGTTATCACATGCAACTAACAATATCTATAAAATGATCCATAATATTAATATATCTTGTTGATGGAAATTTTAAATGGCAACTCTCAGATTTTTGTGTTTTGACCAGCAACAACCATATACCTTTTACACCTACTGCCTACTTCCTCCTTTTCTTTTCTTTTTCTTTTCCCCTGCTCTTTCTCCTTCATCTCATACTGCTGTATTTCTATTATTCTTCCAGTCTTTCATCCGTGTGCCTCCATCGTCTTTGTTTATCCCAGACCCTTCATCCCCACCTCTGTCTTTGGACACTAACCTCTCTGCTCTTGTCTCTCACTCCACTGTAGGCCTCCTGAGCCAGTTTACAGCACTGTGAACAAACTATGTGACAAAGCACCCTCCCCCCGACACTATTCCCCAGTGGAGTGCGACAAAAGTCTCCTCCACTCCACCCCCCTCCCAAACTATCACTTAGGCCTGTACCCTGACACGGACTTCACCAGGTACTTTCCAGCACCACTATCACCATCTCTTTGCAGTCCGCCACTGTGTCCCATCACACCATATAAATGGCATGCCATGCATAACCATATCGTCTGTAAATAACCACCTGCTATTCTCTTATGCATTCAGTCGCTTGCTCCCTCCTTCTAGCCTCCAGCAACCGCGTTGGTGTGGTTTTCTGAAGCTAACATGTTTTATTCTTCCTTCTCTATCTTCAGGGCTCTGATTTAGCCGCAGACCTAGCTTTAACTACAACTAACACATTGCCAGTTTTATCCAGTTGTGGAAGAAGTACTCAGATCTTTACTATTTGGCTTAAACCATAACTCAGTTGTCCGTCAAAATAGAAAAATGTGTTTTGGAAAAAGGTAGGCATGTAAGAATTAGAAAGTCACTGAAACAAATTGCCACTATTACATTTTGGTTTAGCTGCTGTGCTATACAGTACCTAACTAACTTGTGTTTATGTGAAGTAGTAGCACTGCTAGAACAGGAAGCTAATCACTGCGTTTGAAGGCATAGGGTGGAGAACTCCATCACTGTTAAAAAGTCTACTAATTACTACTAGTACCCCCTCAGTGTCAAAACAAAAAACACTATTCCCACTGAAATATACTGTATTATGTAAATTAATTAATTCATTATATTTTCTCATTGTTATGTACTTTCCTGTGAAACTTGCTGAGTATGACTGTGAGCATCTCCTCTAGCTCAGGGGCTCTCACATCCTTTACTGCCTTTCTTAGGTTAACCCCTTGATGCCGATTGTTGCAAATTCGCTTCACACCTCTTCCTTTCAGACTGCAGCAGAGATATCGTTTGTATTCCCCCAATGCCTGTTGTCGCTAATTTGCATCATACCTGAATTTATATCTTTTTTCATGTTCTACAGTCAAATTAAAAATCTCCACTTAATTTAGAATCAGCTTGAAAGCAAATGAAAACAAAAATAATCAATCTTCTTATATAATTGTAAATAAATTCAGGCATCAAGGGGTTAAATTCTGTTGAGCTGGTTAACCATTATTTGATCAGGGAAAGGCAGAGCTCTGCATTGTTCATACCTTTGTGAAGTCAGTTTTTTCCACATTCTCCCTGGGACCCACTCTTCACTCACAAAAACACACGGACGCAGACCCCTTCTAGGGGCTAACTCAGCCTTGCACGTGGTGCACCCGCTCGATCAGGCTTTGTTTTTGGTATGAAAGTAATAACCAATGCAATATAATCCTTACCTTTAGAAAAAGTTTTTTTCAACCTGGGTAGATCATCAGAAACCTAATATCTGACATTCTGTAGTTTTACAATTATATGTGTAGATGTGCAGTGTGTTGGGAGGTAGACGATACAAGTAAGTTCAGTTTTAGTATGCACAAGTGATGGATGGTTATGTTGTGTTATGAATGATAATTTTAGTTTTAATCACTTTCTGGTGTGAATGTGAATCCTCTACTGACTAAACAGTTGCATGCATGTCTGATTGGTTGACAGATCTGTTTGACAGTGATGTAAAACACAGGTGTGTCTTTTATATAGTTTGACCAATCAAATTTCTCTATTTTTAAAATTTCTCTGTCACTTTCCATTTCAAACAAGAACTGTTGGATTTTTGAAATGACAGACGCAATACCATGGCTATATACAGCCAACTTAATCAAGGGCAGGTGCTTGTTGCCCTGAGTTTTTCCTTATCTGAATGAAGAGTCTGAGGACAGAGGATTTCATATGATGTGCTGTAGTGACTATCCACTTTACGCAGTCAATTCAGGTGGTGTGACAATAGCATAGTAATGATAACTATAATAGTCAGAGAGCATACAGGAGTACAAGAAAAATGTAGCACAGACTCATCTTAGTCATTTTGAGTTTGAAGACTTTCAAAATAGAAAATGAAAGATTGCCACTGGTTTCATCATTTTGTGTCTTTTCTGAAAAAGTGGCAGATCTTCCTGGACCCACCTTTTTCACAAAAAATCAATTTGTTTCCATCTTTGTTTAATGTATAAATCACTTTCTTTAAAATAACATTTTGGCGCCCCTACTGAGTGTATTTCACTGCTGTCTTAAATAAAAACTGCTGAACACGTACAGTTGTTATTATTACATTACTGATCAAAACTAGCAAGTCGACAACTTTGCTAACACAGCCAAACATCAAGCAAGTGTGACAACACAAGACATAATATTACTGACTAGTCCAACAGAAGGAAGGCCAGCTTGGTGTCTGTCTCACAGCCTTTTATTTCGCCTGGTCTTGCTTGGTCACTCTCTTCTTCTCTTCTTAGCCTCCTCCGTCAACGTCCTCTTTGGTCTCTTTGCCTCTGTCATTACCTAATGTTGTGTCCGTACTGAGAATACTGAGCTAACTTCTTCAAAAGAACCTACTCTGTAGGCTACATTGTATCGTCTTTGCTTCTTCCTATGGCTCTCTTGCTGAAGAGTTTTGTTGGTGTGATGTGGTGCTATAAAGTATTACACCGTTCTTGTGATAGTTTTGGCAACAACAGACTCCATTCTCTCTATTATAAGTTAGTGTACCATCAAAATGATTTTCAAGCTGTTGTTTTAAGATCAAAATACTATGTTGCTTTAAAGTGATTATATTTTTTTAATTTTTTTTATTTTTTGAGGTTTATCATTTTATTTAGGGGTTGGACTAGAACAGGTTTACATGGTTTCATTTTCAAAACACCTTAGTTTTGTCATACTGCACGTTGCTGCAATTCCTCTTTTCACCCTGTGTGCTGAATGCTATGTTTTAGCTATGGAGTGAAGAATCTCACTTCTACAAGATCTTTGTTGTGAGTTGCACATGTGCAGTACATAATTAAGGACTACTAACCAATCAGAAGCGGAGTAGGGCTCGTCCTGACAAGCCAGTAAACACAGCTTTGGCATGTTCCTCTTACCAGCTTAGCAACAAGGACTGGAGCAAGAGTTTCAGTGGTGAGTTATTAATCTGTAACAAAAGTATCTTTCATCCATAAAGTTTTAACTGAGCTCTGTCTCTACATCAACAACTTTGTGTCCATTGACTGCCTGGAGGGTAGCTAGTGTTTGGAAGGGAGAGGAGAGGCGGCAGGCGGACGTCTTGTCACTGTGTGCTGCAGCTCAGCGTGTTTTTCCACCGGTGTTTTTGAGGGCGTGTCTGACTGGCTGCTAGGCGAGGATTATGACGCATGTTTTCTTGGGACACCACAAGAAAGCGGAAGTAAAGGCTGGACTACAAACGAGCTGTTTTCAGTTCAGAGCAGAGCTTTCTGTGGGAGATGGGAACTCCCTTTGGGCTGGACTTTGGGCTTTTTCACTTTGCAAACCTGTTACCTGCACAAAAAAGATATATAACTCAATAAAGCAGAGGGGAAAAGCCAAAAAGCAGAATACGATCTCTTTAAAGAGTCCAGAAAGAAGTAGTGGTTGGTAGCAGGATGTGATTTGGTGTAAGTACTTTCAGGTCATTACAGTCCTCAGAAAGCTCATGATGAGACAGGTATTAAGAGTTGCTTTGATCTCACAGAGTATGGTATGAAAGCCTTCCTCATCCAAACATTGCTTTCAAAGGAAGGAGTACTGCACCTTTGAAATGAAATGGATGAATTTGTTCCTATCTTCCATCATAATGAGAGCCAGCAGGGGTGATGAAAATCCTCTAAATTTTCCTTCTGGGTGATGTTCCCATTTATTGCAGAGATGGTGCTCAGCTGTAATCATCACACTCAAAGAAAAACAATACTGCCCCTAGTGGTTAAATCATGCAGAACATATAAATGGCTTCTACGTGTACATGTTGAAAATGAAGGAAGAAAGATTGGAATCAGGGTATCTGTGCTCCATTAGAAATGATTGAATGCATGCAAGTTAGCCTGCGGTTGGGGATGATTTTTCTTTTTTTTGCTTATTTTCAAGGTACAATTCGTAGAGAGGATGCTAAAACATTAAGTGTCTGTATATAACAATGGCTTGTTTAGTTAAGTTATAAGCACCTCAGTTCTGTTAAAGCCAGAAAGTCTTGGAATGACACTGAATAGGAGACTGGCTTTGTTGACAGTGTAACACTGATTGGGGTCCTGAAACAAGTGGTGGATGACAGAGGACACATAATTGGCACCTCTGAAGAACAAGAGAAAATTAAAATGAAAATGGTCTTCGGTGCCCAATGATGTGGCCTTGCAGCTTCATGCTCCTGCAGTTTATGCATTCACCAGCAGAGGGCAGTGTGCTGCTTACATGCATGCTGACATTCCTGTACTCCAGAAGGCAGTTTGATTTGATAGGAATAGCTTTATTTCAGTATTGTTTAGTTAGATATTATTCGTTTGACAAGTACTGTCTTTATACAATAGGTTTCAAACCTACCGTTGTCTCTTTATGTACACTGAGTTTCTAATTCATATGAAGTGCATTGAACCAAATTTTCCTAAAAAGGGAGTCTGTACCCAAAATGCTACTACAACCTTATAGGGAGCCAGTGTCTTTCAGTATGCACATCCCATGCATGTATCTTAGTGTGTGTGCATTGTTCAGAGCGAGAGAAAGCAAGCCAGTCTGTGTGTAAGCATGTGACGAGGTTCCTTTTCCGTCAGATCTGAATTGGGGACAAGTGATCCTAAGTAGAGCACCATCCCCCTGTGGAGCTCCAGCAGTCTTTGAGCACTGTTGCCTGAGCAAAGCATCGCTGAGGCTTTCGTCAATGTACGGTGCGATTGTTTTCCACCTCTGTGTCCTCCTACGCCCGAGCTGAAGATGCTGAAACCCACCGACTCCCCCGAGCTGATGTACTATCTGAACTGTCTGTACAGGGAACCCAGGAAGGTTGTGCTCCACAAAGGCTCCACAGGCCTGGGCTTCAACATCGTGGGTGGTGAAGATGGCGAGGGCATCTTTGTCTCCTTCATCCTGGCAGGAGGGCCTGCTGACCTGAGTGGAGAGCTGAGGAGAGGCGACCAGATCTTATCGGTGAGTGCACAAGAGCCACTTCAGCCTAGTTTTATAGATACAAGACACTCACTCGTGTTGGAAAACATCCTATTGAAAATGAGTAAAAATAATTTAATATCACCAAATACAAGCTGCTTACATACAAAAATAAACAATCTGCTCACCTGTTACATGATAACAAAAATGTTAGATCTGAAGCGATCACATAAAGACCCAAGCCAATTAAACAAAGGCTGGGCAGTTGGGTATCAGCAAGCTTCCCTCACGGCAAGTACAGATCTACTTTTAAAATGGTTGACTCTTGTTAAACCTGTGTGTTCCCAGCATATTAATAGTGAGTGTAATAGTCCTACTGGCCTAGATTTATTTTCAGGGCCAGACACTAATACACCATTTGCCTAGTATTACAGAGAGGTGTAGTGTCGTGTCTGTGGTAGTAACTAGTATGTTTATTTTATGCTGGTCATGTTAAACATCTCAGCTTTGGAAGTTGTATTATATTCCTTGATTTACCATTCAGAATCATTTTGAGACGTTCTTGTTGTATCCTATTAGTTTTAAACATCACTATAGTGGGATTCCGTCAGAAATCAAACACTTTCTGACGCTTTCACTATGAAACATTTCCCCCTACATTTCAACCTACATGAGAGTGTTAAAATGTGGTTTGATAAACCAGAATGTCCAACCATTCAGGAGAAAGGCAGCCTCAAAGTTGACCCATACTGGCCCACCACCCCACCTAAATCTTGTTCAGAAATCAACATAATAAACAGTATGGTTCTCAGATTATCAGAAGGCTTACAAACAAGGTAATCCACAATTTCAGTGCTTTTGATAAAAAATTTAAAAATATGCACATGATGTGATTTTGATGTGAAGAAATGCATAAAGCTTCTTGAGTTATGTTTATTTTAGAAAGATGATATCTGTGTCTTTAGGTGGGATGGGGTCCAATATGGGTAGCAAGTATATGGTATATTGTAATAGAATTATTTCCCCCTGAGTTTAAGCCTTTATTTACCCTATAGTTGTAGTTGTTGGCGTGTCAAATAATAATAAAGGTGGGTAAGGCCCAAAACCCAACACTTTTTTATTTTCTATAATAAACATGGTTACACTAAATGTGCCCCATTCTGTCATCTCTTGCATTCATTATGTGTTAGCACTACATTGCTACTCGATAATAACATGATGATAGAGGGGTGATAGTTTGTTTATAAAGAGGTAATATTAGACTGAAATTTCTGTAACAGGGTAATAAGGGACCAAAACCAAATGGTAATAATGGGGGAAACACATTTAAAGATAGCAACAAGGCAAAAAAACTATTAAGTAGAGTAATATATTGGTAACAATATGGCAACCTTATAAAAGTAAAATGGTTATATCAGTGCAGTATTTGGATTAAGACATTTGGAGCAATAACCTGATAATAATGAGCTAATATAGGTTGATATTTTCACAAGATTATTGACTTGTGTATTACAGTTTAATACCTTCAAATTCACATGAAAATTCTTGTGAAAAATTGATAATTACCATATTATAATGCTGAATTTCATCCTCCATTATATTCCAAACATTCCCTTTTGTTTCAAGTTAATGCTGTACACATAATATGTTCAATGTAGTGACTTGTTACCTGGAAGCTCTTGTGGTAGTTTGTGTACTCTGTGTAATGACCATGAATCAGAGTTAGAAATATAACAGGTGTCTACCAGGTTTTCGAGTGTTGGTTGGACTAAACAAGCCATTTATACGGTAAAGTGACATCATACATCAGCAAATCTGTTGATGATGTGATGATTGCATACAGTACTGCCAGAACGACACTGAAAGCTGGCATAGCAGAGGCATCACAAGATACTACAGAGTGATCTTAACACCAAACCCAAAGCTACGTGGCAGGCCGTGTCGCCAGATGCTCGCTCTGATCTCCTCGACAAAGAGTCAGCTATAAAGTCTACTTCCAGAGAAGAATCAGTCAGAATCCTCAGCAGATGTGAGAAGAGTCCTGCTGAGAGTGAATATGATCAAAGCTGCTAGGCCTAATACTAAAAACCTGTGCCAATCAGCTAGTTGATGTTATTACTGACATTTTCTACATATCACTATCTCATCAAGACATCAAGCCACCATTGTTCCTGTACCTAAACAACTACCTCCCTGTGGCGCCCTGTTCTGATGAAGTGCTTTGCGAAACTGGTTCTTCAGCACATAAAGAGCAACATCCCAGCCAGCCTGGACCCTCAGCATTTTGCTTTCAGAACCAACAGATCCACAGAGGATTCCATCTCCAGTGAACACCATCCTATCTTGTTAACCTGTGCAGAGAAGCAATAGAAAGCATCCTGACTGGAAACATCACAAACTGGCATGGGATGTGCACGGCCCAGGACCGGAGGGCTCTGCAGCGGGTGATTAAAACTGCTCAGAAGATCATTGGTACCCATCTCCTGAGCATCAATGATATCGGTGAGGTGCCTGCAGAGCCCAAAGGATACTAAAGGACAGCACCCACCCAGACACAGCCTGTTCACCCTGCTGCATTCTGGCAAGAGATACAGAAGTACCTGCTGTCGTACCACCAGACTGCAGAGCAGCTTCTTTCCTCAGGATGTGAGACTCTTCAACTCCACCTCATAACTATAACCAAGTCTTTCCATTTGCACTATAATTTTAAACACTCACACTGGTATTACACATACTGTATATACAGGGCAGCTTTTCATCATGTAAAATGATAAAACCTGGCTGATAACCGATTGAAGGACTGGTTTAAATCTACAACAGAGCTGTCTGTCTTTCTGATATTTTTGCACTCCGATTTACTCAGTAGTAGGTGTTATCATTCAGCACCACATTGAACCACATTGACCACATTGCTCCAATCTGATGATTTCTCTTTTAAAAACAAGCTGATGAGTTGATAAATAGTGGCGAGTAGTGGTGATTTCAGTTGCCTTTGTGGGAAGTAACAGTATGCACACTTTGGAATAATAATCCCTTGACTTAGTCAGCATCTGCTACCATTAAAACAGGGCTTTACAATCTTAGGTTAAAAAATTGCATTGTTGGGTCACAGTATTCACGAGTGCTGTATAACAAGTAACAACTATTAATGTATGTATGATGACTCACTAAGGATGATGAACAGAGTACTCAGTGGGCAGTAGCTGGGAGGATGTGATTGTTCTGCCTCATTATAGTAATTGTAATAGTTTGCCTCCCACACTGTGCAGCAGATTACACTGTCTCATTTCATTGCAGTTCTATGTTAGTGTACAGCCTGCAGATTGTTAAATCAACATGACACTGGCTGTTTGTACTGTCTGTCTACCCTTGATGAAAGCAGGCAGGTAATATTCCAACAGTGGCCTGGTTTTGAAGTCTAAAAACAACTTCCCCTGTCTCTCCCCACCTTTTGAACATATACTCTTCCATCTCTACACACACACACTACAATATGTACATATCCAGTGTAGAGCTTATCGCACTCCTGGGGCTCTTTGGTCTATCGCCACTGTTCAGTTGTCCTAACACTGGAGGACAGCAGCAGCTCATATGATGAAAGATGCAAAGAAAAATATATTTAAACATTTATCATTTAATCATGATAATGAAATTCACCAGTAAAATCTTTAATGCATGTGTTACAGAAGCATTTGTATTTAGATGCATTCACTTATTAATATGTTTTGATGCATCACACCTGTCCAAAACTGTGTGTACCTACAAACATTTCAATTTTTGTAGTTGGCAGATTTTGTCAGACACTTTGTCACTCCATCAACAGTTAAACAAATTTAAAATAGAATTTAAAAAAAAAGAAACAAATATGTACCAGTATATGTGTCCTTCCATTTCAGGATGCCATGCATTTCTACTGGTGTGGGAAAAAGTGTAGCTTATTTGTGGTGCAGGACATTGTATTAAAACAGAAATTCCACAAAAATAATCCTGTAAATTTTCCTTGTTGTTAAAACAGGTAAATGGCATTGACCTACGAGGAGCCACACATGAACAAGCAGCAGCAGCGCTGAAAGGAGCTGGACAGGTGGTCACCATCATTGCCCAGTACAGACCAGAAGGTGAGTCAGCATAAACAAGTCACTGTACAACCACAGGAGGCCTGTGGTGTAAACGACCTGTTAGACACAGCACACACATACACTGCATGCCCAGGACAATGCTCAAATAGGTCTCCCTGCCCACTGCTATTTGGCTCACTTTTTGTTCCACTGTTAAATTTATTCACACATCACTTCCAAACACTTCCAAGTATTAAAGTTCAGTTGTCACAATAAAAGCATCCCACAGAATTCTCTTTTCACATGTGGTGAAACCTGTGTCAAGGATCAAAAAAGGAAAAAAACAAAAGCAAATATTTTCGATAGAGAACAAAATGACACAAATCACTGGATGATATGTGTTGGAAACGGAGCATGCTGGGCAAAAGGCAAACTATTCAAAAATACTATGATGCCTACTACTGTAGCTTTAGGATTCTGCCCCTCATAAACATGCATATGGATATTTTGTTTAAAATATTTAAATAAGAGGCAGTGTTTTAAAGACTTTAAGGGCCTCTCAGGCAGGCAGCTCTGCCTCCATGTTGTGACAGCTTCAACAATCTGCATCTAAGCAGTGGAAGGATTTATGGAGCATGAGAAACATTCCGCCTTTGGGATTCAGCTCAGAGAAAGAAAGGTCTTCACTGGTTGTCAAGGTAGATGCTAGCTGGACAATTGTCCCATCTTATAGCTGAAACTGCGAAACAATGCAAGGTCAATTCTCATTTCATGTTTTGTTTGACATTGGACTCAGAGGATTCTAGCACTGAATGGACTCTTGTACTGTTCTCTTATGGATGAGATTTGAGATAAGGGACACTTTAACTGAAGTTGTTCAGTCAATAGTTCACATTCACAATAAGAGCTCCCTCAGCGGAAGTGTCCATCAACTGTTTCACAAAGTTATGCACGTTCACCTGAGCTGTGGAGCTAGAGGACCTGATTAGTGATACCTTACCTCATTACATTTTCTTACTTACAAAGTTTCTAAAAAGGGTTTAGAATAGTGATATGATTCAACAAAAACATTCTATTTGTCTGAAACTGGTTTGTGTCTTGTAGCATCAGACTGTAGCATGTGGGGCATGGTCATGCTAAATACAATCTACCAAAGGCTGTCTGCTAAACCTTTTGTAAGATAACATGTAGTGGATCAGACAGCTCTGACTGGTGACATGCCTCCTCTGATTAAGGTCAACAGTAGCAGTACTTGAGAGCTGGAGATGCAGTGACTGATACAGAGACCCCTCAATGTTTCAGAGGTGCCAAACTCACAAACTGTTCAGACCCTTATACCAAGAGCTGCCTCAAAATTATCTACATCAACTTTATTTTGTAACATTCAAGAAGTCAAAAGGATTATTTGTTAAATCAAGGTGTCTATACATTTCTCGACGTATTCTTAGAACATCAGTCAGACCTGAGCCAAATTTGTAAACAACAACTGCCCCAAGAGACTGGTCTTGGTGTTAGAATGCTTTGGCCAATGTAAATTTTACAGTTCAGAAGCTCTGACTGACTTCAGTTGTGTGGCAAAGATTAGTAGAGAAGCTCTTTGACTTGCAATAAGTTCAGTCTGAAGCCCTCTGTAATCAAGAGTCTTAGTTTAGGGATGACTCTGAAATATATTTCATAAGCTGCTCCCATCTCACTTATCCAACTCGTTGCCATGCTCCCATCTGAGGGGACATCTTACAGCTGACTAACTGGGCTCTAAACCCCTCTGAGACTAACAACTTCTTTCTCTTCTTACCCATCAGAACTTGCTCTATGCTCACCACAACGGGTCCATTCTCCTGCACCAGGTTTGTGCCATTGGCACCTGTGGCTGCTCTGAGCTTTAGCATCATTCACCAGGGCTCGGCTAGGTCAGAGTCACTGAGTGAATGTGATCACAGACAGTCTCTTCACTCCTTTTCACCAAGCGTTTTCACCCACAGAAGCACACCTTTCCTCCCCCAGCCTGTTTGACTTTCACTCCTCCACTGCACGTGCACTTCTTAAACCCTCCTGACTTTACCTTACTTCCTTTGCTCCCAGGTCGGGACCCTTCAAACAGTGTCCTTTTCTTCTTGCCCTTTGAAAATGCTACATTTTTGTAAACTGTGTTTTGAAGAGGTTATTATCAGTTCACAGACACAGTCATGTATATGCTTTTATAAAGTAATTATTTTGTTTCATTACATACCTGTGTTGAATGTTCAGTCCAGCTGTCAACACTTTTCATTCACCTCCATTGTATCGGGGGGGTGGCAGAGGTTTCAGCTGTGAATGTCTCATAATGTTGTGCTTTACAAGTGGTAAGCTGGCTGCTGGACAAAAGTAGTTTAAACCTGTGTAGGATTTCAAGAGACTAAGGCTTTTAGAACCACAGGAAAGAGCAGACAGAGGCTCCCGAGTGCCCATATCGCACTCATGGTCCTCCAGGAACGATTTCATAATGTACAGATGTTTGAGGGGGATCAAGTCATGCTTCTTTATCGATTTGGTCGGTTGACAAATTATTTACAAAATATTTAGCATAGACCTTCATCTTTGGTTAGTAGTCACATAAACTGCATGTGAGAGTGGACAGTGGTTACTATTTCAAAACAAGCCCAGCAGGGTGATGACGTGATTTAACACAAAGCTGATGATTCTGGGTATTCACTCATTATTAACAATAATACAGGCTTGATGAGTGAAAGGAAAACACTGTTTTTTCTTGTTACATGTTCAAGGTCAATTACAGGAACATGTACACTTATGTACACTCTTGGGAGTGTGTGTGTGTGTTCAGCCAAATCAAAATAAAACAATATCTGCAAAAGCCAAAGGCCATCTATAACTAAAAAATATTTTCCCATATTATTGGAAAGCTAGGACTTTTAAGGAAAGATGATGAAATAACGTTCTGCATGATCAGCTGTACGGAAAAGGGAAAGGAGTTGTCTAGTAAACTGATAAAACAAACAAGCACTGGTTTTCCTGTTTGGTGCGTCCATTTCCACGTCTCCACCCCTGCGCTGCTTCTGAGTAGCCACAGCAGAGAGAGAGGTGTTTCCCTTGCTTTACTTATGTTAGTGCTGCACTCGGCAGAGGCACAGACTTGGACTGTGTGTAGAGAACAGAGAGAAGGAGCACAAGGAGAACACAATATAAGAAAGAGACGGCAGCAGTAGAAGATATAACATCAAAGTGACCATGCAGACAGGTATGTGAAACTGATTTTAGATGGGCAGAAAAAAACAAGAGAAAGACAAGTTCAAAGTAAATAGTGTAATTAAAATGTTGTGATTTTGCGTTTTGTTGTAGGCGATTATCCAGTGTGAGAGGTTATCTCCTCATTTTAGTTTCCTTTGCTGACATGTTTAGGCTCAGCCTTGTTATTTCTTTAGCTGTCTAACTCATAGGATGATAAACAGAACATCAGTATTCGAGAAAGCATGGAAGAGTTTATGCCAGTGTGGCAGTTGTGATTGCCATTATAACTGGAAAACACAGGAAAAACTAAACAAAAGTATTTTTACCTATATTTACAGTATATCTCTCTTAACTTGTCTTGCCCTGATCTGTAGGATACAGTTTGTCAGTGATTGGTGGTTTCATGACAGAACATGACATGTCTGTACTGGTTGATCTTCTTTAAGTGACAGATTAGCTAGCCATGCCTCAAGTTATCAGCTTTTTCATCCTCATCCTGCGCTGCCAGGAAAAGCATACTTGTCAACGCAGTGACGAGTTTTCACATCCTGACATCCACTTTTACTTTGCCAAGAGCGATTCACTTAATGGCTTCAGACCTTACTGACCGGAATTCCCGCCGGTCATACAACGTGCAGCAATGTAAATAAAAAAGAAACAAATGATGTGTAAGTTTGTGTATTCTCAGTCTAATTGCAGTGTACAGTATGTGAATACAGCAACACAAAGGATTGCCTCAGACATGGCTTATATCTATTCACTCATACATCATTTTCTGTGTCCATGTGTTACGGTGTTAAATATACAATTGTGGTATGGATACACATTGTTTTACAGTCAAGTGTGGCTCTCAGGCGCTTGCAAGGCTAATTATTAAAACATATTGATGTCAAAAAACTTCTCATGAGATACAGTTTGGCATGTATTACTAGATGGATGGGAGAATTGTAATCTAGATGTAGACAGTGGTAGAACTGCATTAGTACAGAGCATTGGTGACAATTATAATTATAATCACTAACTTACAACACAGTATAAACCTCTGTTGAAATATGACTATAGATATGCAGCATATCTACTACATACATGAAAATATTTAAATAATGTAAATGTGCGCCCAGTACCACACTTTGAGTGCACTTCCTTCTTTATTATCATCAGCTTTAATTTTACTGTAGAGAGAATAATCAACAACTCTAGTAAATGGTTTTTCACTGAATAGGGGGCAGTTTTAGCAGCATCGTTAGGTTGATCTCCTCTTTCCCATGATGATGGAGTCTGAATGCAGACCTGGCTGTCAGTCATGATCCATTCTATTCTTGTCTTGCAGAGTATGGGCGTTTTGAGGCCAAAATCCATGACCTGAGGGAGCAGATGATGAACCACAGTATGAGCTCTGGGTCAGGATCCCTGCGAACCAATCAAAAGAGATCGCTCTATGTGAGGTTGGTCTTTTTTGGATTTTACCCTAGTTTTGGATGTTCAGCCTGAATTCAGAGAATTCAGAAAATAAAAAGCCATCCATTCCATGTCCCTGTCTTTCAAAAGGGTTGTTATGTTTTTCATACAGAATTATAATGCATCTCATGATGTTTCTTTCTGTGGTCTGAATTAATGTAAAGATTGCACACAGATATACATTGAAATCTGTGACTGAAACAGAAGATTTCGTATTATAGCAAACCCTCTGACCCAAAAGTCACTATTAACACTGGCCTGGTAAAGCTGTGCTTCTAGTTTTTTTCTACTGAATTAGAAAAGACCAGGAATACATTGCTTATTGCAATACTAATCTTTATAACCCTGATATCTTCTACTGAATAGGGCACTGTTTGACTACGAGAAGTCTAAGGACAGCGGCCTCCCAAGCCAAGGCCTCAGCTTCAGGTATGGGGACATCCTCCACGTCATCAACGCCTCAGATGATGAGTGGTGGCAGGCCCGCCGTGTCACCCCACATGGGGACAGTGAGGAAATGGGTGTCATCCCCAGCAAGAGACGGTGAGCAGTGGAGAAAACATTTCTGGTTAATGACATTTTGATGAAAACCTATCGATGCTAGTAGTTGGTGTACGCACATAAGCACCTTCATTAGATTGTCTCACAATGAGCCTAACAACCTAACCTTGCAACAGTAACTGAGTAGAACAGAAATCTTCAAGTGAGAGACTCACCCAGAGTTGCCAAAAACATTGTTGTGCAGCGCAGTGTCAGTGTGAATAATTGAATTGAATCGCTCTGATTAATGCTTTTTGCTTGGCAGGGTGGAAAGGAAAGAGCGAGCGCGTCTAAAGACTGTGAAATTCAATGCCAAGCCAGGGTCATTTGATTCAAAAGGGGTAAGTGTCTTTATGACCAAATTCATTTGATGATTCATGAAAAAGATCATCTTTAAATCTTTACAGTGACTGTGTGACTTCCTGTGAATCTGAATGTAATGATTTGCATTGTCAGAGGTTGGTTCTTTAGTTGTGATGTTCTCGCTGTAGTTTGATGTCCATTCATAACTTAGTACAGTTAGATAGACTTCATTGATAAAATAGAACAGCCAATTTTATCATGTATGTTTCTTCATTGACATGTCTATCAAAGACAGCACAACAATTCATCAGTTCATTTTTACCTTCCAGTTTTCAAACTTTCTGCTCCAGTACATGTCGTTGTTAACTATATTTAATTCAGCCTGCTATAACCATAGTGCCAGTTCATAACAGAGGTTATCTCATTGCACTTTTGATATAGAGCAGGTCTAGACCATACTCTATGTAATATTATTTACAGAGACCCAACAGTCTCCACCATTTGCGAGCACTAAGCTTCAGAGGTAAGGAAAACCTTTTAGCAGGTAGAAACCTCGAGATCTGTGTGGGCAGCCATTACACAGATATTTCAATTATACAACTAGTATAAGTTGTAGTATATTCTACCAACTGTAAAGCTAAAACCACCAAGTAGCAAATGCAAAATGTTCACCTTCATACACATCTACTGTATGAACCAGATTTAAGGAAAAGGTGTCTAAAGTGTGGGCTGTTATAACGCCCGAGCATGACTCTCAACAGGGAGCCCTCAAAACTGTAGCTGTACAAATATTACACATCACCTGCAGCATTTTCTCTTCAAATGATGATTTCAAAATCATTATTTGAAATCTCATCCTGTTCAGTTCCATAATTTCTTTCCATCACTGCATGTCTTTTTGTGTGCTTATGACTTTCCTATGACTAAACCCCAGTTATGTTACTTCTCTCATAGCATGATCACCTTGCTTTTACTTTAAATGCCTTTGTTGCAACTGTGGTACATCAAGAAGTACTGGGACCTACCGTATTATTCTCTGAAATTAATAAGTTTGTTTCATTCTTACACTCATTTTGTAGATGTTGATTTCACAAGGTGAAGTTATCTGGTTCTGACAAACAGCCGAAAGAATTAAGTTTCTGTCCTAATTTAATAAAGTTGAGTAGAGTTAAGTCCAACAATCAGCTCGTCATGTTTGCTAAATGAACAGGCACAAAAAGCAAAATTTTAAACTTCCTGGTTTCACATTGGTTAAAAAGAATCTCATTATGGTTTCCTTTGCCAACAGTATCAACACTTAAATAGCATTTACTGATGCACAGCCTCAAAGAATCGGCTTGGGAAATGTATCTTTAAAAAATATGTGATAAGGAGTGTAAATGAAAATCGATCTTTTGGTATTTTTGTTTTATAAGCTACCTAAATTAGCAATTAGTGGACAGAAGTGGAATTACTGTTTAATCAAACCACTTAGTATCAACATAGAATCTATTTAGATATTTTATATCAAATTATTTAGCGATATAACTAAACATCATTCATTTCAATTAGGTTTTTAGTCTATAACATGTCCGAAAATAGTAAAATACCCCCTTGTTGTCTTTCATCACATCAACAGTCCAAAATCCAGGAAAAACGCAGCTAAACTCATATTTTTGAGATGGAACCAGCATGTTGGTATTTTTTGCTTAATAAATCACTTAAATGATTTATCAATTATCAGCTATTATCATTTCAGCATTAAAATTATTTTCTAAGTGGTCTAACTGAAAACAAATAGCACCATTGTAATCAGGATCTTAAATAACCGTGACCTTCTTTGATCAAAAATGTGTGTGTGTATATATATATATATATCTGTATAGAGAGAAAGAGAGAGAGAGTTTTCACTATAAAACTTCTTGATGTCCCACTTTCTGCAAGCACTTGTTTTGTCTGCATGAATGTGACAGATACCTGTTTGCCACATGCTTTGTCTCCCTTCACAGTCATTCAATGACAAACGTAAAAAGAATTTCATCTTTACACGAAAGTTCCCATTCTACAAGAACAAAGAGGGTGAGCAGGATGGCAGTGATTCAGACCGTAAGTAAGCTCACAGACACACATGTACTTCCATGCAAAGAGGCAGTGTAGGTCACTTGTAGGGCTGACAGGGGCTTCACAGGTGTATTTCAGGGGCACAGGCCTCTCCCGCTTCCTCTCATGATCATTTCCTGTCGTCTTTGTTTCCTTTCTCTTTCTGTGGATCACAGTCAGAAACATTCTGGCTCAGACTCTGATCTGTCAGCAGGAGAGAAGCCAAGTCAATGCTGTTTATTTTCCTGTGAAATGTCCCCATATGGTGATATTGTACAACCCAGTTTCCCTTCAGAGATCATTTAGGTTCAACCAGCCTACCTGTTATCGTGTTGTATTTGCCCCCCCTGCTGGCTGCTCAGTGTCTGGACAGAAGCAGCTCTGTGGGCCCACAGCTTCCTCTTTTCACTGCCTCGAAGGTTATGCTTATGTTGCGGCTGTCCTCCTTCCTCTCTTTCTTCTGTTCTGGCTCTGTTTGGACGGCCTATAGGACATCCTGGGGATAGGTGATGATGGTTATGGGACAAAGACGTTCAGTAAGTTGGTCCTGGAATGATTCCTCATCTCCGTTTAACCTGTGTTACGTTTTCTGTCAGAACGAGTTTCTCTTGCATGCACCATTGCATGCTGCATTTGTTGGATTTGTCTTGCTTCTCAGTTTGCAATGTGTTAACCTCAGTCAAGGAATGATGCAGATTCACTAAACTCAGGAGGTTTTGGCAGGTTACCTGCAGGGTTTTCACACTCTGGTCAATGAGCCACCAGAGTGATTTTTATGCACTGGAACCTCCCAAACTTGCTGGAGAGACGTAACATTTTTTTTAATAATTGCACCCCTTACTGACACCTTTCTTCAGATGTTGATGCATGTTTGCATGACACAGCCTTATTCAATTAAAAAGCTTTTATCTTCACGATTACGTCTGTTCGCGTTGTAAGGAGTAAGCATTTCAGTCATTTGGGAAACAGGCTTCAGGGTTTCCTTTTTTTCACTTATCACTTGATGCAGAGTGAGAAAATATTTCTTGTGTTTTTCAAATAACCCAAAGTCAGCATTTCTCATTTAAACCATATTAAACACACTTATCGTCATCATGAGCTGAGATGAGCATCACACTTGTCCAACAAAAACTCAAATGATCTGCTAATTTTATACAGTGAAGTTACAAAACATCAGGTAACTGTTTAAACACGCTAGTTTTGCCAGACTTTTTTGCCAACTATCTTTAAATCCCATATTAAGTTTTGTGCCATATTGTATCGAGTTTCCTGAGGTCTTGAATTCATTCAATTGGAAAGCTGGAGAAGTGCGAGATGCTAAACTCGAGGTCAAAATAGCAAGATAAGTTTCATTTTGGTTAATAATTTGCTTTATTTTGAAATGTGACACATCACCATTTTATTCGTTTATTTAGCTGCATACATGCATTTTTTATGTTACCAGGGCCAGAGAAGTAAGTAGACAGACCGAAAATAACAGACATGTTCTATGAGATATGCTTCCATGCATGTGGCTTTTGACCAAATATGGCATGTTGTTTAAGTCAGTAATGAGTATTTGTCCAAATAACATAATAATATTTTTCACTATGTACCCACCAGGGAGTCAAGAGGACATGATTCTCTCATATGAACCTGTGATGCGGCAAGAAAGTGAGTTCCACGTCCCAGTTAAAGTGTCAGCCTTCAGCATCCCCATATTGCAATGAGCTTCACTCTTGTATTGTGTACATGTACAGTTCCTTTTGGATATTTCTGTGTAATTGAAGAAATTTAACAAAGCTTGGACACATATTAAAAACATTCCAAACAAAATGCTAATACAGGAGGAGGCTAAAGAGGCAGAGGGAGCTTGATTTCTGAAAGCAGCCAGCAGTGTAGCAGCAGGGACGCAGAACTCAGCACCAGATGTTCATATGGAGTGCTTATTGTGAGAGATGGACTTAAATGTGACCTATAAATGACTACTGTGAGCTCCACTTAGTTAAAAAGAGTATATCTGAATCAACATGAGTAACTGTCCTAAATAATCTTAACATGTAAATGTAGCATTTATATTATATTTTTGTATATTATTTTAATTAAAATTAACTGTACATACATTGGCTGTGGCACTTTGTTAGGCAAATGTAGTTCTTCTCTTTTAATAAGCGGATTTTCCAGCAGCTAGACCACTTTAGTTTAAATGAGTGAAAAGTGCATAAGTAACACACCCACAGTAAGTGTTGCCAGCTATGAAATGGCACACTGTTACCCAGACAAGGGTTTATATGAATAATGGTCACCCACAGTTCTTAAAAGGTAGAATAGTTAATTAAAATTTATAAAAATTGATTCCCACCAATCATGTCAAAGATTACATTTAATTTTTAATACTTCACCATGAGAACTGCTGGAACATACAGCAGAGAGAACCAGTGCTCAACAGGACTGACATGGACTATGGACCTGTAGTGTGCATATCTTGTTCATATTGCTGGACGAAATGGCCAAAAATTTAATCACGATAAAAAGTTTAATGTCTTTTGATATCGATAATTATCACGATAAGTATCAAATCTTTATTTGGCAGATTTTTGCTCCTTAGTGAAAGTTGAAGAAACCTGATGGTTAATTGTGGTTTAAACTTCTTTATGGTCAACACTTGAGGCCAAACAGTGGATCACTTCACAAATCTGAGGTAGAACATTCAAAACAATTATGATAAAATCTTTGTCAATCTTAATAAAAAATAACATCTTAATAAAAAAATTAAGTCCTAATTCGTGTATGATTCAAGTGATTCAACATTTATTGAATATTTATTGAACATTTGTTATATTGTTATTGAAAAAAATGTATTGCGATAATTATTGTTATTGTTTTATTGTCCAGCCATACATACACATATACATACACATACACACATACAGTATGTCTTGTAATGAATCTTTGAACACAAACTAAAAAAAAGAAAGAAAGCTCCCCTGCACACAACACATGAACAACCTGTGTGGTGTCTTTTAGAGGTATCTTTAAAAAATGCAGTCAGTCTTTGTTTTTCCTTCCAGTCAGTTATGCCAGACCCGTCATAATCCTTGGACCGATGAAGGACAGAATCAATGATGATCTGATATCAGAGTTCCCCGAAAAGTTTGGGTCTTGTGTGCCGCGTAAGTAGTTCATGGAAACGGAACAGAAATGTATTTTCAAATTATTCATGGACAACAGTGAAACAAAACCAATGTGAAATTACAGGTTGTATTGATGTTATTGCATAATAGTTGCAGCATTATGTGATACTGACTATTGAGTAGAAATTGTGAAATCACCATCTGTGTTTATAAATGTTTACTTACTACTTCATCAGTCACCATGATCATATTTATTGTGAAGTCAGTGTGATGTCTCATTGCACATCAACATGATGAAAACGATAGACAGCCGTTTTTTGCAACTAAAGCCATTAATTAATTGAGTTAAACACTTACTCAGGTCAGACTGACAGACACTGTATATAAGAAATATATCGCAAACCAACTGTTCAGTAGCTACAATCACATGTTAGTTAAGTAACATTTAAAACAATTCCTGACAATTCAATTCAGTTTATATAGCACTGAATCATCACTTTTCCATATAGAGCAGGTGTAGATTATTCTCTTTGTAATATTATTTACAGAGACCCAACAGTTCCTGCCATGAGCAAGCACTTGCCGACAGTGGCGAGGAATGCAGATACACAGAATGCATCTATAATACCTTGGATGCTCTATGATATTTTATAACTAAGATACATTTGGCGGCTCAGGAGGTAGAGCGGGTTGGCCGTTAATCGGAAGGTCGGCGGTTCAATCCCGGCTCCTCCAGGCTGCATGTCGAAGTGTCCTTGGGCAAGATACTGAACCCCGAATTGCCCCTGGCGGCTGTTCTGCTAGTGTTTGAATGTTAGTTTCTGTTTGAGCACTTAGGCTCAGTGAATGAATGGTGAATGCAGATGTAGTGTAAAAGCGCTTTGAGTGGTCGAAAAGACTAGAAAGGTGCTATACAAATACAGAGTATTTACTTTTGGACAAAGTCATGCGGTACTAATACAATACTGATGAAAGAGAAATATGTTAGGATTCGTTTTTAACAGTATATATAATGGTAGACATTGCATAAAAGAACCCCAAAACATACTATGAAATGTGTTTAGTAAGCAAGTGTGTTGCCTATCAGAAATGTTCTGTGTCACAATAGTGAAATTGTATGAATTTTACAACAAATTTCACATTTAAGCCTGATGTTTCTATGCATGTAGAAATGAAATTAATAAGCCAGTTATTGTCAGCTGATGGAGCAGGTATTTCTTCAGCAACTGGGGGTAAATATGATGGATCTCAGTGGTGAACTGAAATTTGACAGATAAACTTCTCTTAGACTGTGATGAGGTTAGTGATTTTAGTATTTTGAGATGGCTGGTAGATGGAAGACTCACACAGATCATTATTTTTATTTAGGCCAATCCATTTAGGATCCTTACCAACAGCTTTCCACACACCACTGTTACACTAGAGGCTACAGTCTTCTACATGGGGCTGTGGGGAAAACATTTAGAATGCTGCTTATTTATTGCTAAAAATGTTTTCTCTCATATCATGACACAGGATGAACAGGCAAGAACGATGGCCATCAGTAGTGTTTTTGGTTCACTGTGGATCTGAATGTTTTATAAAAGAACACTGCCCATGCAGCTTCATGTAATGCTGCCACAGTGAGATAAATGGAAGGACCACTGTCAGCTTTAGTTACTGTTTTTCTTTTCCGGTTTGTGTTTCCATGAGTTTCTGTGACCCCAGCACGTACATGTAACCACATCGGACTCATCCTAACAGGACCCTCTCACTCCTCTGTGCATTGTGTAAAATGTTCTTCATCAACCAAAGCACTTTTTATTTTGCATGTTTTGACTCACCCATCTCTTTTATTTCAATATACCTTTTAAACCATATGAAGCTGCTAACAGTTCAGGGCACCAAGGTAAGTGAGCGGATAAGCTGAGTTGATCCTTTCATCCCTTTATTTAGAAAGTGACTCTTGAAGTACTGTTTCCCATACTTCTACTCCTTGTACTGTTTATGTAGAATCAGTTTGAACTTGTTGTGTTAGGGACACTAGTTAGTGTCCAAATAAGAGAAGAGTACACCTTTGTAGAAGCATTAAGCATCTGCCATCTTCTTTAAAGATATCCAGTCACATTTGCTGAAATCTTTCCAGCACGCTGTGTGCTAACCAGTGGTGGACAATGACTAAGTCGATTTACTGAAGTACTGTATTTAAGTACAAATTAGAGGTATTTGTGCTTTAGTTGAGTATTTTTTTCATGCCACTTTCTATACAGTTATACAGGTACAGCTAGTACATTCATTGATTGACAGAAATGTAATTGGCAAATATTATCAGAATCATTTAAGTAATTTTTTCATTTAAAGAAAATACATGGTTCCAGGTTCACAAAAGTATTTTTATTAATTTTGATGTCTGGACTGACAAAACAAGCATTGTGAAGTCACTTTGTCACTTTGGCAACTGTGACAACTTTTTTCACAGTTTTCAAATTTGTTTACAATTGATCAATGGAAAAAAGCAGATTAAGCCATTATGAAAAAAGTCATTACTTGCAGTCTGATACAAAATAGTTCAACCTCAACCAACTACAACAGTAAAATCCTGCTTTTACATTAATGCATGAGTACTAATAATCCAATACAGTCACAGGAAATTTTTCTTTCTGCAATGAGTACTTTTACTTTTAATACTTTAAGTACATTTTCCTGATTATACTAAAATACTTCTTTACTTCTTAATATTTTCAGTGGAGTACTTTTTCTTGTAAAAATTCTTGTATTCTTACAGTATTTTTACAGTGAGATATTAGTATTTTACCTTAAGTAAAGGATCACTTTACTGATACTAACCATGTATAATTAGGAATTCCATTCTGGTTTCTGTAGCACACAACTGGAGAATCCTCCCCATGTATTAATAATTAATAAAATAACTTGGCCAACCAAGGTGCAAATCCACCAATGGGAAAATAATGTGTGACAACATTAAAGGGCCCGTTTCCCCATTTGTTCTTTTGTTCAAATTTTGTGACAAACTCTTAAACATGTGAGTGGATATCTTTAAATGTAAGTGTGTATATATCAGTTATTATGAGGATTCAGTTTATTTGCCAGAAACAACTGACCAAACTCTCAATGCCAATAAAGATCAGGATTAATCACAGAGCAGCCAAACCACTGACCTACTGTAAATAAATACATGTAACAGTAACACCATTGTATGTGTGATGAAAGTAGCAGGTTTTATTGAAACATTCATTTTAAGAAACCACTGACAGCAACAGTGGTGTGTGAAAGAGGCTCCCAACCATCTCCAACATGGTCTTGTTTGTTTGTGGTAATTACAACAAGGTATCCCAACTGATATGACAATAATGTGTGGTGTTTGTGTTTGCAAATAAGCACCTTTAAGAGCATTCCTGTGTGTTTTATAGAATTCTATGACAATTGAAAAGTAAACGTAGCTTTTGTCTGCTGCTCTGGTTAGGGCATGGTAGTTACTAACTTGTAAAGAGCTTATTGTCTTCCTTGCACCAAAGATACCACTCGGCCGAAGAGGGACTACGAGGTGGACGGGCGAGACTACCACTTTGTGATGTCCAGAGAGCAGATGGAGAAGGACATCCAAGAGCACAAGTTCATTGAGGCGGGACAGTACAATGAGAATCTGTATGGAACAAGTGTCCAGTCTGTGAAATACGTGGCTGAAAGGGTAAGACGCTTTACTTGTTTAGAAAAGCTGCAGGGTAGCTGCACCACATGGAAGCAATAATGTAAATGTAGAAATGCAAAGTTTATTTCTTGTAGTGTAAGGCTTGTACTGTGGATTGTAAAGCCCATGTTTATCGGCCTGGCTGGTTTGTGATTTATATACTAAAGGAAAGAGTGGAGCTTTTACTTGAGGCTGTTTAGGACGTAGATTAGATTTACACCATATGAGATTTATTTTAAGATTTAAAATATCTTGCATAGTGCAGCTTTGATTTATAACCTGAGAGATTAAACCTTGTGTTTTGGTTCATCTCTTGTAAATGAATGCCTCTGTCTCAGGGTAAACACTGCATCCTGGATGTGTCAGGAAATGCCATCAAACGACTACAAGTAGCACAACTCTATCCCATAGCCATCTTCATAAAACCCAAGTCTGTTGATTCATTAATGTGAGTATTTATTTTGTGTTTTATCACATACCACTGATATAAGTTCCCCTATAATAACACTTCCACGTACATTTTGTTTTATATTACTGACGAATTTATTGGCATTTGGCAACTCTTTACTTTAAGACCCCATAGTTATAATTCATAAATAAACATGTAATAAATGGTTTATAATGCACTGTTATAAGTAGATATTAGTGTTTATTAATGTATTGATCAACAATTTTATCTTCCCCTGTGGACACCCATAAGTGGAGGCTGCTGTATAAACAGATAATGAATGACAATATAGTTATTGTTGTTGTTGTTGTAATATATATAAAATATATCTTCATACTGACAAATACAGTACATTAATACACAATAAATCTACATAACAACTACATTAGAGGGTGGTATGGTCCATTTATTTATTTGTAAACTGTTAAATGAAACGTAGGGAGCTTTAAAATAAAGTGTGTCTTAGAATTTTGTTCACAGATGTCCTGGTCAGACAATCAGAGACAGCATCATGTGTGTGCAATGTTTTGTGTTCTTTGTCGCCGTGCAGGGACATGAATAAGAGACTGACAGAGGAACAAGCCAGGAAGACGTTTGACAGGGCTATGAAGCTGGAGCAGGAGTTTGGTGAATTCTTCACAGGTATGATATTAATAAAAGCACAAATAAAAAAGAAGCCATCTATATTCCGATTACCCCTCAGTGTTGAACGCAGTATATGAGCATACAAGGCTAGCAGGGTCCTTCCAACTTATAAAAGAACAAATGGAGTGAGTGAGCTGTGCTCTCATGGCTGCATGAAGATGCCAAAAATATCTGGATTATTGCAGAGAGATTTGCTCTTAGCCCCATGCAGACTGGCAGTGTAGACATACTGGACATGTCAGTTATTGTTTAAGCAAGCTTCTGGAATTATAAAGGATGATTGTTTATGAGTGAAAAGGTGCATGTGGGACTGTAGTGATTAAAATGTAATGTATCCATCCTTTGCTTTACAGCCCTGGTTCAAGGAGACACCTTAGAAGACATTTATAACCACTGCAAACAGGTCATAGAGGAACATTCAGGACCCTATATCTGGATCCCCTCAAAGGAGAAACTATAATAACTCATCACCCTGGAAGGGAATCTGGACTGCTAGAAACTAGTAATAAGTTTTAACATATGATAACTGTATGGCGCTGAATAGTTTTCATAAATACTTATTGTAACTTTTGTTTTTGTCTTTTTTTTTTCTCTTTTGTTTGGTTATTGCTTCATTTTTCACTCAACATGAATGTTCCTGAATGTAAACCACAGTGTTAGGAAATTCTAGGTCTTGAAATATGAACCGTTTGTATATTTGTTTATTTTGATTTGAACAACAATGAAAAGAAATGTAATGAAAACAAAATAAATCTGGGGTATGTGTCCACAGCAGGAAACTGGAGGTGGCATATACAGTGCAGATTTCTTTGCTTTGCTAACATAGGAAGGAAAGTTCCTCACCCTCCCTCGTACTGCAACAACTAGCAAATAATCTATGATGTTTAATGTTTTGTCTGATTTTGAATCTGTGCATCCCCTGAACACAGCTTTGCTTTGCGTTTGTTTATATTGTCATTTTTTCCTTGAATTTCTATATTTATTTCTCTGACATGACATGAGGATGTGTGAGGAAAATGTAATATTCAATGTCATGTTTTTTTATTCAAAGGCAGACATTACTCATTCACTCACATCTGTTGCTTTGACAATGACAAGTTAAAGGAGAAAGCTGCTATTGGCAACGAAGATGTTAACACTATATTTTGCTACTTAAATTGCTAAAGGGCGCAAAAGCACATAATTATTTATTATTGAAAATATAATTTGATTTAAAGGTCATTTACAGAGCACATTTTATTTGAGTTATGAAGTATGTCAAGACTGTGTGAGTATGGATGGGAATATTATTATGTTCACAGTATTTTGTAGACTTGGAGTGGAGAGGGTGGTCAAAGTAGTGATTAAATTTGATACTGAAACACATTTCTGTTGTTTGAACCTAATAGCAGGGCAATGATAATAACAAAAAAATAAAATAAAGGACCAATACTTTTTGAAGTATAAAAATATTTAATAGAAAAGCCAAAAAGTAAGAGGGGAGAACACAAAAGTAAAGTGAATGCATAAATTGCACAAAATGTAGTTAAGTATCAGATATTAATATTATGTACATTATAGAGTTATTAAGGATTTGGAAGTCTAAAAAGATTGATGAGTTTTTCAACTTTACTTTGAAGAGAATATTGATGCAGATGACGCAGGCTGTTCCAAAGACACACTTTGATTTGTTAGGTATGAAAATGTAAAGATGTAAAGGTACTGATTATGGACACAAAGTTCAGTATTTGTATCACTGGTGACCTCAGCCTAAAGCCCTAATAGTGACCCTCAGGTGACCTGTCAGAACCTTAGTGATTACATCTCCTGCCTCTGGTTCAAACAGAAAGCTGTATTAATACAATCATGGTTGACCTTTTCCAAATCGTGAGACAATTACAATCTTTCTTATGAGATGTTTCTGAGCTGGAGAAATCATAACTGACCAACCCTTTTAACTCGCTCTCAAGCCAGATTAGGTTTAAAAACCTTGAAAAACATGTTCAGCAGAGCACCTGACAGGACACCAGGAACTATCCTGAATCAGCTACAGAGAGCCAAGCTTTCTTATTAATGTTTGTTTTAGAAGTTGATGAGTCCTGATTGTCCTGAAGCTTAACTTACCCAGCACGATACAATATATCCACTATATATAGTTTACTCACCAGTGGCTTGCCTTCTTTGAAAGGGCATACAATATAGTACCTCGCTTTGTTAAAAATAAAAAAATAAAAATCTGTTATGTATTTAAAGCACTTGGAATGACTAATGCATCTGCCAGTGTGATAACCTTCCGGTTCTGTTTAATTACAACGCCATTGGTCGTTCCCATGATAACAATTTGTGAGTGATATATATATTCTAGTATTCCTGCTATTTGATTTAGACAGCATGTTTCAACCAACCTGTAAGCAAGTAAATATAGTAGTTACAATACATGCAGGTATGTTTCTAATCAATGGAGCATTTCAAAAGTGCACTTACTCATTGTTTTTGGTGACAAAAATAGGCACGGTACTTTAACAGTAATGGATACAGTGTTTAAAGCGAATATAAATCAAATCCACTGATTGTTGTGTAGGACGGCACAGTGAAATCTGAGAAGACTGAACCCTGATCTGTTTGTATGGACCACATACTGTACCTGGACTGACACACGCCATTCCTGAAACCAGTGTGTACTTTGAAGATGAGAATTATTAATTTATGTAGATCATAAATTGGTTGACATATGTGGCTTATATGTGCAAAGCAACACTAGGATTTCCTTTTATTTTTGCAATGTTTCAAGACATCTGCCGTCATTCTTTTGCAAATTTTCCATAACGTATTGGTCACCACTTGCCTTAACAGAGTAGGTTTACTGTATATCAGAAATGAAAGCATATAAATGTAATTTTCCTTTAAGAATAGAACATTTTATTTCATTCTCTTTCACATCTAAACTTAAGTGAGAGAAGGCTGAATCAAATCTAAGGTATATGTCATTATGCTGAGGGTGTTGACACCTTGTACTGGAAAAGTTAAAGGCAGAAGAGATATTTTATATTATGGAATTTTATCTTTAAAATGAGCATTTCTCTGACAACAAGAAAAACATTTTAAAATGGTCAATGAGACACTCACTATTTTGACCGTTGTTTTTTGGCCAGCAATATGATGACGTGTAAAAGAAAATATATCTTCATATACTGGCTTTATACTAATGCTAAATCTAATACAGTACTTCCAAAGTCATTGTGAACATTGTAACACATGATGTTTTACAGGCCAGTGGGGATTTCTGTGTGAAAATGTAAAGGATGTTGGACCTATGCATGTTGCAACAGTCTTCTGTTTCCTGTGGATGTGCAATATTCAACACAACTGAAGCATTGAGGTACTTGCTGTGTTTTAAGACATGATCAAACTGCAGATTTGAATCATTCAATCAGACTTGTGTCTATTTTAAACTTAAATAAAAACACTTGTAAGAGGTGGTGTCGTAGCAATATGTTTTGGCTAACACATTTAGCGTATTTGCTTTTCAGTAGTTTAATTAGTAAACCCAAATTCACAGTTTAGAACTCGAACTTATTATTTATTATTGACCGCATAAAAGCACCAATGTGCTCATCATCAACTTTATAAGGCTTAAATATGCAGTTCACCAGCAGGAAGTTGCCCGCAAACTGCAGACAAAGTGGAAATCACAGTAGTGAACTGGAACAGGTCCATCATAGCCTGGTTTTCAGTATGAGCTGTGACATCTTAATTTACACAGTGCAGATGATGCATCCATTATTTCCACCCTACAGTGGCTTTTCCATTGGTCCACTTCAAGTAATGTATTTACTATGACTGATAAATACAGGATGATGTCACATGATATATTCAGCTTTATGAGTTGGTGAGGTTCACCTGAACATTCTGTTAAATTACTGGCCTGCATCGAGTAATGGCATTTAGTTGGGATTGTAAAGGATGAAAAAATTTTGGCCTACACACATTTGTAGGAGAAATGGGATGGGCTGTGTCATGTTTGTCCAAGACAACACCTGAATTTGTTCTGTTTCTATAGCAGCTCAATTATTTTCATGTGATTTGTTTGCTGGAATGTTCCTTATTGGTCATTGAAATATTTTATTTTCAAAAGCTAAACACACGTTTGTGTAACTGAATGAAAGGGGGAATAAATAACTAGACAAAAACATTTTCAGAATATTATGTGTAAAAGAGTACAAATCAGTTTTGTCATCAAAATATTGACCTTTCGTTTCTGTTTGAGAACGCAGTAAGTGAAACTCACCAGTTCTTACCCCCATTCTGCTGTATAAATTCATTTTTGATATTGATGTACCAACTTATGTGTTACTTTGAAGATTTCTTTTTTTCCATCCAGGTGGGTGTGTGCACCCTGAAGGGTCATGGTACAGCTGGTATGCCACGTCCTGACGTGTTGTTAACCCTGCCGGCACCAGGTGTGTTAGTGACGAGATTTCAAATTGTAAACGCATTTCATAATTTTGTACATTGGGTGTTTTGGAAGAAGTTTTTGAAAGCAAGCACTTGCTTTAACCATTTCAAAAGATTTACACAAGACATGTTTACAAATGATCAATGAAAAAACAAATTGTTTGGCAAGTTTTAATGTCTTCAGTTTTCATTCTTCCTGAAAGGTTGACTGCACCAGAGAGAGCATCTCTACGTACATGCAAATCTTGTCTGTTTGGGTTTTCTGCTTTTGCTCAGCAGTGTTTGTAAACCTTCATGTCTGTTCAATATCAATATACTATGCACTTAACATGAGGCATATACTTTATGCCATATCTCTTTTTGTTCCCTGGAATGATGGACATGCAGACACATTTACAAGCATACATTTACTTGCCAACATGGTTGTTTTAGTTTTATACATATATATATTTTCTTTTTTTTTTCTACATTGTGCATTTATTTAAGCTTACGAACATGGGGAATGTGAAAATTGGGAAATTGTGTTTGCATTATGTTACTGTATGCAAATCTGGTTGCTTTAATGAAGTACTACACACACACACTCACACACACACACATAGCAGCTATCTCTTCAAAAGGAAATTAAAAAGGGTGATACTTTTAAAATGAACTTGGGTGGGCTTCTTATTAATTAAAATGTATTTAGCTCTGTTTAGGTTGTATGTTTATGTGCAAATGTGCTTGTTTGATATACTATTTACATTTCTGACAACTATCAGTCAGATACTGCATTAGAGTGCAGGGGGGTTCTGTCTCAGGTGTGTTTCCACCCAAGCTGATTACAGGCCCCCAGACGGTGCACAGAATGATACATGAGAGAGGTATGCACCTGACTGAATAGGAGGGCCGGAAGGAAGCAAATGTCATCGTAGAAAGCATCGCTGAAGTGTGTCATTTTCTAGAGCACACATTTTGCATACTTCTGATCCTAGTTTTAAATGGATATTTATCCCATTCACAAAGGTCATTATGCATTTAGCAAAACTAAGAGTATACAGCCGTGCCAGCGGCTCTATGAGGCTGGTGCAGCAGGGCTTTTTTAAATGCTGACATCAGCATGCTAATATGTTGGTGTCAGTAAAGTTCACCATGTTCATTATGTGAATTTACTGAGTTAGCGTGCTAACATTTGCTAAGTAGCACTAAACACAAAGTAGGCCTGCAGCTGAGGCTGACCGGAATGTCACTAGTTTTGTAGGTATTTGGTCATAAATGATGATCAGCATCCTCATTTTATTAATACTAGTACAGTGCCCGTTCAGAGGGGCCGATGTGACAGCTCCCAGCGCTTTTTAGATAGTGCCCTGGACAAAGAATCAGACGGCTTACACCACAAACTGGAAAAGTATCTGGCCTGTGCCTCAAGAAGGCACAGCTATCACAGCTATTAGGACTGCCGATGTTGCAGGGCATCAAATTGCAATGTCTGTACTATGAGATGCCCAAGTCAGCTCTACAGGGAAATTTTTTTTTTAATGCAAATTCTGAAAATATTCATTATAGGTCACTTGATGTTTTCCACTGGGGCAGTAAAATGTGAAGTTTAGCTGCTGATCTGAACTTCCATGCTGTTACTGTTTTATTGCCAACAATATTCATCAGCTGTTTGATTCACAAAGGTAATGGCACATTTCTGACCATGAAGCAAAGCCTAAACAGAGCTCTAGAAGAACTACATGAAATTACAATCCAACTACATATTTTTTCTACCAGGGTTAAAAATTTAGCTGGCTGATCGTATCCATGCTGTAAGCTAACGTTACCGTTTTATTGCCAATTACTGATCAGCTGATTGTCTCGCTAATGTAACCGGTAAAGCCAAACCACAGGCTGGAGAATAAGTAGGCTACATGAATTTAATCCAACTACATGTTTTATACTAAGCTAAAGCTATTCAATTCAAGAAACCTCGAGCAGAACCATGGCTCAGGGTGGGCGGCCATCTGCCTCGACCGTGTTGGGGTGAAGGAGAGAGAGAGAGAGAGAGAGAGAGAGAGAGGGGGGAGGGAGGCAGCCTACACAATATACACACAGACAGTAAAGGTGATGTTGCTATAGACTAAATGAAAAATGGTACCGATATTTATAGTAGTGTTAATGATAATAATCCTAATGTTAATGATTATAATTACAATAATAACAATAGGACTAGTAACAATAGTTGCAGCAGAGGGTGTCGAGCAGGAACACAGGGGCAGCAGGTGACCCGCAACCACAGATCCAGACTCCACAGCTCCAGAGCCAGAAACACCTGCAGGAAGTGACAGGAGGAGAGAGGAGAGGGACGAGAAAGCACAAGACTACCAGAAAGGGGAGAAGTTGAGTTAGTAACATGCAATAATGGGATGAGGTTGCATACAGAGGGAGAGAAAGTAGAGGAGAGAGGAGCTCAGTGCATCATGGGAAATCCCCCGGCAGTCTAGGCCTATAGCAGCATAACTAAGGGATGGTTCAGGACTCACCTGAGCCAGCCCTAACTATAAGCTTTATCAAAGAGGAAAGTCTTAAGCCTACTCTTAAATGTGGAGATGGTGTCTGCCTCCTGAACCCAAACTGGAACCTGGTTCCACAGGAGAGGAGCTTGATAGCTGAACGCTCTGGCTCCTAGTCTACTTTTGGAGACTCTAGGAACCACAAGTAACCCTGCATTCTGGGAGCGCAGTGCTCTGGTGGGGTAGTAAGGTACTATGAGCTCTTTAAGATAAGATGGTGCCTGACCATTAAGAGCTTTGTAGGTAAGAAGAATGATTTTAAATTCTATTCTGGATTTTACTGGAATCCAATGCAGAGAAGCTAAGAGAGGAGAAATGTGATCTCTTTTCCTGATTCCTGTCAGAACACCTATCAAAAAATAGTTTTCATTTGCATCGCTAAAGTCCGACTAACAGAAAACAGACAACTTCAGCACTGCTTTGAAAGCATCTGTCCCACATCAAAGCCTTCCATCTGGGAAAATCCACAACGATTATATCAGTCAGTGATTTCTGCCGTCATCTGTCTGCATCTGTCCCGACTCCTCTGGCTTCATCTTATGAAGATCACAAATGTCACTTGTCTTCTTATTTCTATTAAACCAGATGACTACTCAGAGACTGTATTATTATGATTTCCTCTTCTTCTTTGTACGCATTCAATGTAGTGACAGGCGTCTACACTGCTGGAATTATACAAGCAGAAGAAGAACACCATAATGACAGAATGCGCTCTGTAGCGCTGTTTGTCCGTTGTCAGCTACTGTAGAAACAAGATATAAATCGCTCATTCCAAAGTAATAAAAAAACGGTTCATTTTGTAAGGTATTTATGCACGACTGAATACATAGTTATGGATCTTATATTGCATTTCTGTCAACAAATCCTCAGAAATATTAAACACTGAACCTTTAAAGAATGGTTTAAGCTTGTATTAGCAGTTTAGATTGAAGGCAGTCTGTGAGGAATCTAGTATCAACGCATATTTCCATTATAGACTAGAACATAAATGATTACACACTAAAAACTCCTTGGTTACTTCTTCAACCCATTGTCTGGGTTAATTGTGTTGGGTTAAAATTATGGGAGAGTAACCATTTTCTGGATTATAGGGCTAATATTTTGACCCAGTTCCTCGATTGTTTGGGTTTCTTTGTTATTTTTTAAAGAGTGACCCATGTTCTGGGTTATAGGGTTGGCTTTCTCACTCTCAAATTCAAATTAACTTTATTGGCACGAATGTATAGCAACCACCTGCAGTTGTTCTGGAATTCTCTCACAACAGCCGTTTGAAATAACGTTTTGATATTATCGATCCGTTTTGGCCTGTGGTAAGCAAGTATTTTCAGTGTTGATGTAACATAAACTTTTCTTTGTCCATGTCCCCAGTTGCTAGTTTAGCACCATTAGCTGAAAAAATTACTATGGCTTAGTTGCTACGTTGAGACTAGCGTTGGTAAATCTGTGGTTGCCATGTACATCTAACTAGTTTAAAGTCCATGTAAAGTCACACATGACATGGCACAACCAATGTTTGAAGACTTTAAGCCTTAATCAACATTCATCTGTGTTAGTATTTAGTTCCTTCAGTTCAGTCAGTCTTTGGCCGTTCTACTGTGTAGTCTTGTTTAGTGTGTGTACATCCTACCCGTCTGTACCTTTTGGAGTTACTTTATTAGTAAAATGTTTGAATTGGAACTTTGGACTCCTCTTCTTCTTCTGCCTGCACCACACTGTGACAGATAAAATGTAAAACAAAGTTGTTGTTTTTTAAATAAGGCATACTGGCATAGTAACCCAAGTTAGGTTATTTTTGACCCAACTTAAAAAAGGAACCAAATAATTTCTGGGTTATTTCAACCCAGATATTGGGGTTGTTCTTTTGACCCAGAAGTTGGGTTATATTAATTTCAATGATGGGTTTTTTTGACCCAACATTTGGGTCAGGTATTTAACCCAGAAGTTGGGTCAAAAAGAATAAGCCAATTTTCTGGGTTGAAATAACACAGAAATTAGTTGATCCCATTTTAATTCAGGAATTGGGTCAAAAATAACCCATTATGGAGTTTTTAGTATGCATTTAGTATCATAAATTAAACTTTCTAAAGTTTTAATTATTTTCCTTTTAGACCTACATAGATGTAGGTGGATTGTGTGACTACATACGTAGTCCTTGGCAAAATTGTCAAAGTTGTTTGAAGCAAACTGTGGACCATTGTCATTTGCCAATATTTCAGGTACCCCAACTCTTGCAAAGATCACCTTCAGTTGTTGTCAGGTTTGGGAGGTTTGCTATTTCAGTATACCTGGAGTAGTTATCTACCACCACGATGTAATGGCCGTGCCACCACTGAAAGGTACCTGCTGCCACTTTTTGCTACGATCCTGCTGGTAGGGGTGTAGGCTCTGTCTTCATTTGTGAAAATTGCCAGCATATTTCACACCTTTCCACTATTTCTTTGATTTGTCTCGTTATCCCCAGCCACCACAGAGAATCCTGTGCCCTTGCTGCACACTTTATCACCCCCGTGATGGCCCTTGTGCAGTTTTTCCAGCATTTCTCCCTGCATGATTCCCAGGATCAGAATCCTCTCTCCCTTGAGGAGCAGGTCCTCTGCCATGTAGATGTCATCTCTCTCTGGCCAGAATGGCAGAAGGTGTTCAGGAGCACTTCTCCTGTAAGGGGGCCAGCCTATCTCGTTATTGTTTTCCGCTGCTTACAAATGCTGTCTGTGCATTGAGCTAGTTTAGTTTTAGTGGCCAGCAGATGTTGTAGAATATGGGCGATGTATACATAGGTGCCATTTACACTGGG